TTCTTTCCCTCCTACATAAATACATCGTCTATTGCATCTTCATAGTTGGATCTCTGACAGAAAACGGGGAATCTCTCTCCCCGCTCTTTTTTGGTGAGAAGAAGCTTTCAAATTCAAGATTCATGCCACCACTTTGGTTTTCTTGGTTCAAGAGGAGAAAATATCATGGGCGTCATTCGACACAGACATTTTTCTCCGTTTCCTTTTACAAGTTGGTAACGGTCTCATCAATTCCATTATATAGGAGCGGAAGGTGGTGTAAGTTGGTAATGCGGAGGAAGCTACATACGTATTTAGGAGGAGGAGGGACGGGAGGGAAAGTGAAGCACCTGAGCCAAGGCATTTCGAACCCTTGCTCCGATCCGACTTGTTACCGTCATCATCTTAAAAGTAGTGGAACTTCACTTTGCGAGTCAAGCAAGTAGATATCGGTGTCTCCTGTTCTTCTGGCGGCTCAGCGAACCTGCCCTCTTATTCTCCAGTGCTGTAAATGCATAAATTTGCTATTCTAACTTTGCCCAAGTGCAAGAAATTCTTCCAACCGTTCTAAAAAGCAAAATAAGTACGACGGAAACTTGTTTAAATAATTCATTCAAGTGTGTTCTCGAAATCGGAGGGAAGCGACTGGAGGAATGAGACGGCAAATAAATGAGAACTTTCTTCTTTCTGAGGATAAAACAGGAGGAGCGCGGATCTGCACTACGTATGGCCGAATATGGTTGTTATCCCTTCGTGATCTGAACCAAATCCAAAGTTGTGCGAATCCTGTGTCTAATCTATCTATGAAATCCCGCTTTTCCGAAGGATGCCAATCTATTTGGTATGTTATGTGCGTCAGCTCATGTGCTCTCTCGCCTAATTTATATCCTTTCGGTCCTACTCTCACTCAAGACTGTTTTCCAATTGACTCCTTCTCTTCCAGCAGTTTGAACCCCTTTAAATTGCAGTTCAACAGTCGGAGCAGGACGGGTACATGAATAGCATCATGGAGAAAGCAATATCCACAAACAAAATACTTGAGAGACGGCTGGCCTGCTCACTTGCACGCAATAAATAACTGCAGCATAAAGTCTGGCAAAACTACTTAATGGCAATGCCCAATTAGCTAAATGTGGCTTTTGTTGGTCATGCATTATTTTTTGTTGTGTTATTTGTATTCCAATCGAGCTCCCTTGTTTTCTCACTTGTCTGCTCTCCTACATTTTCAAAATCGGGAATAATTCAACCCTTTCCAACCACGATGCGTCACGGTTACGTTTGTGTACACCATGGTGCAAAAATCAGTGATATTGTATTTACTCGTGCTATAGGGCAGTTCAGCAACATATTGTAAAGAGTTGACTCATATCCGGAGCTATGTAAAAGTCAGGAAAATGTGGAAGGGATGGAAATAATAATACTAATAACAAGACGAAGAAGTTGAATAAGAATTATTGTATAAGAGAGAGAGAGATGGAATGCAGAGGATGTTGCAATGTTGTATTTGTACGATTTGTTGTGTAGTGCCCATAAGGCATACAAATATCCTAATGAATCTCTGTATTAGCTCAAGGAAATCAAATCACGGGACCCAAATCAAACGGCACACGAAGAAACTATAAACCACTCCTCCGGCCGGTGGAGCACAAGGCACCAGCATAACGAGAAGAACTTGCTGTTGCGTTCCTCTGCGGTTGTCGTCGTGTCTTCCCTTCAGGAGAATTCAAAGCCTTCCTATAATTTCCGGAGTGTCATGTATTCTAATCTCAGGACCGTGGGCTTCTTAAAATCTTCTTGTTTGTTTCCACCAGCTTTCTCCACTCGCCAGCTCCTCAGGTCTACGTCTAAATTGGGGAGGACAATTATACTCAGGAAGTAGTTACAAAGTGGTGGCAAGGCAGGTTTAAGCCTTGTAGAGTCGGTATTTTTCTAGCAATGAATAAAGCTCATTCTACTAGCTGCACTTTCACAATTCTATTTCGATCTCCAATCCTGTAGCAAACAATTACTAACATAAACAACACCAAATAAGTATTCTGCTGGTCCTAGGTCAATTTACATAACGAACCTTTGCATAATGGCCATTTCGCCTAATTTTTATTGCATAAAAGTCATATTACATAAGAAGCCTTATCACATAAATACGTATTGCATAATTGTTTCGTAATTAAGGTTGAGAGGAACTTGCACATCTTAAAATCTTCCTGAATGGCGTGTTTGGAAATCTGCAGGGAAAACTGGATTTTAATTTCGTAATTTCTACAGGCTTAATTATCAGGGCTAGAAGTTGGTGTTTTTACGTAAGTATGAAATTTCCTTTGTCGTTATATACAGTAGCCGAGCACCATAAGGTGCAAATATAGTCGTCGGTGGAACCATTGGAGTTATTTTTTACTTACAAATGTACTTAGAAATCTGATATACCTACTAGTCATGCAGTTATTGATTTTTGGTATTAAAGTTGCTACCGCTTGGTATTAAAATTTTACCGGCCCGTAAAAAATACCGAGCTATGACAAGAAGGTACACTCAAAATAAGGTAGTAATGAATCATTACCATGCGGAATGACTATGTGGCTCTACCACGTCGGTTACGATTTGTCGTAGAAATTGTAATAATAAGTTCAGGGAAATTCAAATTTAATACATAGTGGTATTCACTTCCTTAATATTTGGTAATGAATTTGAATTTCCCCGAAAATGTTATTACCATTTCTACGACAAATCGTAACCGACGTGGTAGAGCCACATAGTCATTCCGCATGGTAATGATTCATTACTACCTTATTTTGAGTGTATTATCAGTACCATCCTGGTTGAGTCATATATGAAGACCACTGGGTATTATTTTAATACTGGATTTCTAATAGCAAGAGTGTAACCATTTCACATAATGTAGGTGTAGGTAGATAAATCTTTTTGTACCTATATAGTTTGTATACTCTGAAATACATTTTTAGTCAAGCTTAGTATATGTACATAATTGGTCAGTGACCACAGAATGAGCTGGGTAATGGGATTTGGCTCAAATTATGCAATGTGTAATTATGCAAAGTTGGGTTTAACATAATTGATAATTATGTAAAATCGCCATTATGTGAATGGTAGTTATGCAGCAGAAATTATGTAAAGTGACCGAAGGCCATTCTGCTTTGAATAAGAAGCTGTAACTATGTCCTTCTGATAAGTCCTCTCGTGTTCCTCTGATCAACCTTATTATATGTCCATGTGATAAAAATGTGATTTGGGCACCAACAGAAAAACAGGAGTTAGCTGCTGACTCCTCGCGTAATCTTAGTTGAAATGCGAGACAAGAAAATCCATCCAAACCCTATTGTCTTCGCAATAATGACGACTTGGGTATCTTCATTAGTCTTTATCCCACCTAATTGACTGGTGGAAGCACAGGGAGAGGGCAATACTCCAGCAATTGTGAGTTTCAGTTCGGCGTAAGTGCATGTTACGTATGTGGAGGGGGGCGAGAGCAGGAAAAAAATCGAGAAGCGTGACACTTGGTTTTAGCGAGAAGGAGCTAATTTGATCGCTTGCCAATTAAATCACCCAACGCCGTGTTCTTCTTGAACTGCTCCTCCTGCTGCGTCGTCTTCTTGGGTGCGACTTTTTCACATATCACCTGTCAACTCCCCTCTAGAGCAGCCCTTGGTGTGTCAGGCAGGCTCTTCCTCCTCGTCTCCATTCTTCTTCCCCATTCAGCCCTCTTTGGCCACCTCTTATCTTGCTCTCTGCTCGTCTGTCTGGTCAAGTTTCGCCTTATGCTAACCATGCAATTGACAAGAAACACACGATAGGTTGAGTTTCAGATGATGACATTCTAGTCCCAATGTACGATTTGGTATGGGCCAAAGTTAGTTTGAGACATGTCACAACCACCGAGTAAAACTATACAGAGAGTTAAATGCAATGCAATTCAAATCGAATTGCACCATTTCAATCTATTCAGACAGAGAATGCAAATTATTCAAAATATTTATTTCATTAACATGACACCCCTCCAGCCAGTGTCCCAACCCTTTTATGACCTACGGACATGTCAAGACCTTTTGGAATGCATGTCAGAATAAATCTCATTTTTACCATTAAGGAGAGTGCAGAATAAGCCCTGACTCGGGCTAAAAACATTTATTTAAAAACATTCATTATTAAGCATTTTATATCAATTTTTCTGGTACCATTGAATGAAAAATACACACGTATCTGCAAATGGATCAAAACAAAATCAAGAAAAGTCACGTAGCCATTTCCTACTTTATTACATTTTTCAAATGATATATGGACCTCAGCATCTTCGCGCATTCATATCATTTCATATATATTTCCTTCCAATTATTCAGTATGTGTTTATACATTCTTCAGTTATAATATAACCAAATGTTTTAACTCGTTTTTTAAGAATAAAGTAGTCCTTCGTATAATTGCCATGTCTGGGATAAATTCTCCAGATACTAAATACGTACATATGCATTATAAATAGGACTGCTCTATGTACAAATAGATGCACAGGGTTGTCAGAAAGGAGAGGAGAAGAATTGGATGAAAAATTATATTTTGCCTGAAATAAGGAATAGTTCTCATCCATGGTGGTAACACTTTTAATTGTTCTTGAGACATGTGAGGTGAAAAATGTGTTCTGGTGAAAGTCCATTATCTTGGATGATTTTTCTCCAGTTAACACCACCGCAATAACGCTTGCACATTGGACGAACGCTTTGTTTTTCTTGGACTGAGCTCTGTGTGTGACTGACACAGGCTTCTGATGACCCTTGACATGTGTAGGTCAAACGATGTATTTGACGTAGATGGAGAGTTATGGTGCGGCCTGGCACTCTGCTAATAGCAAGAGTTTTGATGTCTGAGCACATTTCCAACCGCTCTGATGAAACCTAATTCTTGGTGCATGGAAGGCTAGGCGAGGGGGTAGGTGAGGAGCATGGGAACGCAGGCGTGCAGTTGGAGAAAGCACGGGCAAAAGTGGATTTTGTCCCAGCACGGACGTGAGATTGGCTCAGTCGTGGAGGCTGCTGCTGGAGCTCAATTGACTTTCTCCCGATTTCTCTTGCCTGCCAATAAACCTAGAACAAGTAGTCCGGTCTCTTACTTTTGGTCCTCTCATCACGACCCACGCTTGGTCTTCTTTCTCGACGGTGTAGATTTTGAGACTCAATTTTGCTCCGTCGTTGTTGTTGAACACGGACATATTATTCTTTGTTTGGTGAGAAGTGATTCCTGGGTCTACTTCATACGCCGTGCTCGTATAGCTCCAAATACTATTCATTGGGATTACATCCATCAACCACAACTGTCACCCCATACATTGTACATGAACCTACATACAAGCAGATATATATTGCGCCAAATCAATTCAGTTGATTTTTTTTATATTCTACCTCGAGCAGAAGAGTTTATGCTTAGTCGTGCCACGGCTCACATTTCTACTTCCCACACAAATTCAACTGCTGCTCCAAGTACAAGGTCTACAACCAATAAGTCAACCCTCTCCTCATCGGGCTTCTATTTCATATGAAAACATCTTGTGGATTTGGAATTGGTTTGGTTGTGGTTCCGGTTCGGTATCACTTTGGTTGGACTTCAGCATAACCAAACAAGAAAAAAATTCAATTTGAAAGTTGTTCAATCCGAGCTCGAGCAACGACCGACCCACCGACCGACCTTTCTCCGGCTTATGCTTTCTTTATCCAGAACTCTGATATAACGCAGGGATTTGAGATCAGAATTCGACAGAAGGAGTAAAAATATGGTGTATTTTGAGCCGGTGCGAGGGTAGTGGTAGTTCTTTTACACAATGTTCAATACCGGAGCGCACTTACCAAACTCCCAACGGGCCCATCTTGTTTGATTCCTGGGGTTATTTATGTGAAGACTCCCAAAGTCGGCTAAGTGACTTAATGCTAACCATTCCAATGGCCATCTCCATTTCAAGTGGTTTGGTTGAGTGAGAATTTGGACATCTTCTCATCCTCCCCAAAACCATCCCAACTGTCACCCACTGAAGAGTTACTCAGAAGGAAATACGGCACGGAATGAAAATGAATGCCTAATCGATTCCGTTTACGTTTCCAATGATTGAGTGCGACTCAAGGGGGTGAATGGGCTACGGTTTGATAGTGAGACTTCTTCTCTTTGACAGAGCAAAGTGAACTGTGAATCTCTGGCGTAATCAAGTTTGAGAAGTTTACCTTCACAAATGGAGGAGATTTTGAACGAGACGGATCTATGTCCGTCCTGTGACGGGTTGGACAATGGGCCTTTTCTCGACAATTCCTCCTTCTCGGCCGAAAACTCCACTACGGACGGGGTCACAACTTGGTCCACAATCGCTTTAATGTGTCTCAGTTCAATCTTTCTTGCTGTCATCATTTTATCTACAATAATCGGTAATACTTATTTTTGTGTACTTTGTAATAAATTATCGGTAAGCTGCAAGTCTAAAAGTGTAAATTTACACACAGCATATACTTACATTTACAGCATATGCATACAGAACAGACATATTTACATGAATACATATATGTATGCCTGTGTACATTATAAACAAATTCCTTCACTCTGCATTAACAGATTTTCAAGTCATACTTTACTATATTAGTCAACTTTATTATACCTATTGTCAGATGTCTTCGGACAAAAGTGGAATGGGAAATATGAGAATTTTTGATTAACTTGACTATATGTGGCATTTTGCAGGATGTAGTTATTTTCATTCATTCTCATTTCACATTATTCTTGTTCGCATTGTGTCCCCTTTTCTATGTTATTGGAATTTTGTCAATGGTATTGCATCCATTAATTCACAGGGAACCTGGTGAAACGTTAGAAAATAAAGCACTCGCTCTAATCAGCAAATCGAATGTTCCAACCAGCAAAGATATTTTGCTTAATAGTACCATTGATGGAATGAATAGGCAAAGTTTGGTAATTTCTCAGAGATTACATTTTTGCACATTACGGGACGGATTTATGGCTAATGTTATGTTCGTTTTGGTGTTGAGGAAACAATAGTTGTAAGGTTGATGCATGGACTGATTGTGGAAAGCAGATTACGTATAGGAACATTAATTGGTCAACGTTCAAGTAGAAAACCTGATTCTTCATTCGTTTCATGTGACTTAGAAATTTCAGACTCCATATGCTTCAAATTTTCCTTTGCCAACCCAAACACAATCATGTGTGCATACGTAGACAATACAGATCTCAAAATCCAAAGCATACGAAAATGTATACTGTGTGGGAGTACGCAGAAAAGATTAGTTCAGTTATGCAGTAAGCTTAGTCTGCCAGAATGTTTTGGTGACAGGAGGTAAATACAGCCGAATGAAATTACTCGACACGACAGAACAGTAGAAGTACATTCTCCATCACATGGCTCGATAATTATAGCGGAAAGGGCAATGGAAACAAAATGTTTTTCTCTTGGTCAGTACGGAACGGAACACAGACGAGAAATTGCACTGCCATAGATTTTTGTTGCAGGATGTCTGATAGCGAGATAGCCGAAACCCACGCGTGACGATAAAAATGTGCAAACTAATACAATGAAAAAGTCTGTCCCATTAAAACAAAGATTTAGTATAGCTTTATACGTATGCCTGCATATACGTAAGAATCGAGCGTCATTTCTCTTTTGATTACACTTTTTCCGTCGAATACTCCACATTCTGAAAAGCAGCAAACCCAAAAAGTATGTCACCAGCTAGTCAGGTTTGACTTGTGAATCACTCGAGAGAGGCGATGACGAGGAGGAGGTGAGGATAGCACTGCTTTTGCGGTTGGCGATCTGAAATGCGACGGTTCAATGAGTTTTACCCTCAAGGGTGGTTTTCATACTTGGGTTGCGGCCAGAAATTGAATATGGAACACATCACTGGCTTCACATTGTTCTTTTCCTAGGGAAACATTTTGACTTAATTTCAAAGTTCTTATTGCTGGATATTGCTGGATATTTTGTGAGAGGACACACTCCGTCTGAGAACGAATCGACCACGTGTAGATATAAAAATGTCGATGCGACTTAATTTTGTCACAGTAATGAGATTGAAGGGAATTTTACTAGTGCGTATTGACCGATGTTAAGGAAAAGACCCAAAAGAGATGATATGGGTGAATTCCCTTCATCAGCAGAGACAGCCTCGCCGACTTGTAGTGACGAGTCAGAGATTGGTTTGGAATTCTAATCCTTTGCTGCCGAGATGTGATTTGATTTTAGGAACAACATAAACCTTCAGAAGGAATGTCTATTTCGTGATCTATCGAAAGGTCTTAAATTGGAGTTTAGCCTGGAGTCATTTCCATAAAACTTTTTTCTATTTCTCTGTCTTTATCTCTCCGCCTGTTCCGCTCCTCTCCATTTCTCTCCAAGGAGAAGTTGAAATTCAAAATCAAACCCTCAGCAATACTTTTTCTATTGAGCACTTATGTCTCCCATCCACTACACTCTTGGATATCAGACCAGTCAAACTTTCTCCCCCTCAATCCTCTGCTCCTTCCATCCGGCTCAATAATAACGTCGTCTCATTGCGTTTCTTACCATTCATTCTCCTTTCCGCACAAGAAGCAAACTAAAACTATGCCAAATTCAATTCAATTCAGTGTCAGAGGGGTCATGACGAGGCCGCAGCTTTGACATCAAAGTCGTCCACTGCACAAACCACAATGGGTTTTTATATCATTAAAAAAACTTTTAGGAGAATCTCAACTGCCCATCGTACGTAGGGCATGGGGTTGTAAATTGCATTATCGGTAGCACCGTTCTCCACGCTATAGTCTACGTATTTTTAGATGCTCATCTCACCCCTGGTGTCATCGCTTATCTATTTCCTCAACTTTGGCCAGCTACTTAATTCGCCAACTCGACAAACGATTGAGTGAAACTCATTCATTAGTCAATAGCACATATATGTATAAGCAATCCTGCATAATCCTGGAACTTTTTAGCGCTACGAGTTTACAGTGGTCTCATCTCATTACGACGACGACTCCTAATGCAATTAAGTATTCCGCGTTCTCAGCCGTCTCTGAATGCAAACTGGCTTCTTTGACTTTCACCAAACTCTTGTTTGAATGAGTTTGAGGTGAATGAGTTTGAAAGAGTTGGATGGACAGTTTGGTGGTTGTAGCTTAGGCTGAGACGACTAAAATGTGAGCATGGAAGATAAATGCAATATCAACTAACTCCAAGACTATTCAGGCCAAGAGTTATTTAAAAGTATCTCCTGTAGTTAGTCAAGTTTAGTTTAGTTTCGCATCTTCCTAGGAAGGAAGCAGCACACTCATCAAGTCGCTATGTGCGAGGTACATACGTACGTATCATCATCATTCTCCCGTAGTTGGCTGTGCATCAACCAACCAACCGCACCACTACACCAACGAGTTTTGTCAAGCTGGAGAAAGTAAACTTTCCCCCGTTTTGTTTCTTAACTTGTGGTTGATTACTGAGGAAGAAAGGGATGCCCATTTGTAACCTATGCTCCTCCGTCTTATCCCTATAATCCGCTTTAAATTAACTCTTCCACTATGCGCCGCACATACATATGCATGTGTGCGACGGAAGCCTCAGCCCTCAGACGCGTAGAGAAACTTTTCATCTTCAACAACCAAACATTAACATTAGGCTGGTCACGGTTTGCATTCCATTATTATGTTTAAAATTACAGAGGAAGCCATGCAAAATTCTATCCCATCAGCATTCTTAAATGAAATGAAATTAGGGAAGGTTTGATCTTGTGTAATGATAGAAGAAGCAGTGGTTGTACGATACGTAATTGTGCTCCATGTGCCGCGTTTCTTGATTTGTTCGCACTGAAATAAAGAAAGTTTAGTCATCTCAGAGTTGCTTTCATCCATCCAGCTCAGATCAAAGATTAATGGAGGAGAACTTTGGTTTGTTTCTCGGGATAAATATTTCCTTTGTAAGTGGCTGGCTGAGGATCAAAAATGAAAGAATCTGGTCTGGATCAGGTTTCCATTTCATTTTCATTATTTCCAAAATTGCTACAAATCCGCAAATAAAACACCTAAATAAATCAAGGAAGAGTGAACCAGGCACCTGTTTGTACTTTGGGCTGGAGAATCCATGTACGTAGGGAACGTGAATGGATAAAAAATGTTGGTTTTGGAAAGATATTGATTGATCCCACTTTTCACGCAGTCCATATAAATAGTTCGCCACTGCTCCCTCTTCTTCTTATTTATACAAGGAGGTGAAAGTGGGCTTCGCTAAAACATTTAGATATTTGTAAAGTGGAAGGCATCCATCGAACGGCAGCAGCGGTGGCAGAAAAAAATGCCACTACAAAAAAGACTTTGTTTGTTGGTTCCCTTTGGTTTTTCGGAAAAGTAATGGATAAAAAAGGTATGTATGCCGTGCATGCATGTGGTAAGAAGGATTCCTCTGGTTTTTAACACTTTTGCATTACCACAAACGCTCCTGCTGTTTCTGAGAGTGGTGAAAGTGTAAAAAAGAAAACCCATCTGAAATTGAATGAAAGTTGTTGTTCCTCCTGTGTTCCTTGGTGCTTGGAGGTGTTAATGGCTACATCTGTTACCCAATGACTACAGCCACAACACATTTTCATCTGCCGTCTCTTGAAAATTTCCTTTATTCCAACCCAATTTGTTCTCCATTTTCAACTCTGATTGCGGACGTCTTCCCATTTGGCTCAAGTTGGTCCACTGCTACAAATTCTCATCTCACACAGTCGACTACTTATCACCACATTCTTTCGTGTGAACAGGTGCAATTTCTGACTACAGTCTGATTATTCTGTTTTCTTTCAGGTAACGTCCTCGTCATTGTTGCCGTGTTTATCGAGAGGAATTTACAGAACGTGGCAAACAGGTAATGCATGCGTGTCCAAACATTGTCCAAACAATGTTGTATTATCAATTCAGCCAGAGTTTTGTACAATACCCAGCAATTCAATTAGCTACGTGTACTACATGTAAGACCAATAAAGAAGTGTTATACAAAACGAATTGTATCAAAGAGGGTCCCTTTGTAGCTGTGATACCGTAGAAGTCGTGGTGGTGTTGCCAATCAGATGAAAGAGGTGAAAGAATAAAGGCATTGCCCAAATAACTGACCACAAAACCGGCCAACCATGAGCCCCATAGCAAATCCGGAAAGAAGTCATTGCCAATTACGGAATGAACCAAGTGGAGCTGCACAAGGAAGAAAGTCCTTAATAAAAAATATCCCAAACCCTCGCGAAAAGTGACTGTTTCTTGGAAAACCACACTTTCCTGACTCAAAGTGTAAAAGCTGGGTTAAATCAGGCCATAAAAACCACCGGTACTGCTTTGTCATGTGGAATGTTCTGATATAATTTGAGTTGTCAAGCCTAGCCAAGCAGCCCAAGAAAACTGCCACGAAATTCTCACAGTCCAACACCCAGTGGAGAAAGTACTTTTCTCTTTCCGTGCCGACATCAACACACATTTAGCACAAACCACCCCTCAACCATTAACCTGTGTTGATTTAGATGAATTCATCCTAAAATAGGAATTGCGGCAGCGGCAGCCGTGGCTCTCCGAAGGTTTTAAACAAATTGAAAGAAGGATTTGAGAGATCGTGCGAGATGTGGGTAAACAGGCCCAAATAAAAATTAACTCCAATTTCCGTAATTCAAGTGCAAATACACCACTGCCTACGCACACTCGAGCCCTCTTACCTATTTACTCAAGTATGAACGAATCACCCAGTTTATTTACAAACTGATTAATTTCAGGTTAATTGTGAGTCTGGGAATAGCCGACTTGATGGTGAGTTTCATTATTAAGCAACATTCTATTATCGTTTGTGTAACGCCATACAGTTTCTTACGTAAATACACATGTACGTGTCTTTCTCTGATAGGTTGCATGTTTCGTTATGGGACCTGCCGCACACTACATGGTAAGTTTTAATGGAATAAGTAAAAAAAAAAACCTGGTTTGTCTCTTGTCATGCCTCTCGTGTGCTAACATAAGCATTATCGTAAGATAAGAGATAATTTTATAGTTGGCGACCACAAGAGTGGATAATCCAGAGTTGGTTTTGGGTCAGATCAGTTAAGAAGAGGGAGAGAAAAGGTGAAGGGAGGAAGAGGAAGAAAGAGAGAGAAAAGCGGATTTTGAGAAAGATATAAAACAGAAATCTCGTTTTGTTGTACTCCAACACCTAGCTTAGTTGGTTTAGTTTATGGTGGTGAGGCAGTAAATCTGGTTTACAGGGAAGAGACAAGTTCTACTCGTCCCACGTTGGAAATACTCTATTTATCTAATTGCCAACACTGAAATTGGAGACGGCCATAGACGTGAGCTCTAAATTGTAAAACAACTATATACGTGTCTATGTGCGTGTTCTTGCTGCCTTTTACTTTTTATTGTGCCTCTGGGGAGATTGCCTTCTTAATACAATATGTCACCTACTTAGGTGGATTAAGTATACATACACAAATCTTCCGCTTCTACGGATTTCTTCGTACGCCTCCGACATTAAAAAAAAATCCCCCTCGACGGAGAAAATGTGCCTAATATGTGTATTGATAATAAACAAATAGTTATTCAGCATGTGCTATTTGTGTACAAGTAAATATTGGTTATTCAATCCTCCTGGTATGGCCACCACTCGAACCTAGTCATAAAATCAATGTTGTTGACATAAATATAGTTTTGGGGCAGGAGGGGGCTGTAAAAAAAGTAAGGTAGGAGGAAAAGATCAAAGGAGGAGAAATAGGAGAATGTGCCAAAGGTGACATCGTAATACCGTTAACAGTTGAGACGGCTGCATTGCTTCATCCGCAAAACGGAAATTGAGTTCTGAAGATGTTGGTTTTTCCTCTGACAATCAACCTCTTTTCCCTCCTGGTTGGTCAGCAAAGCCGAGACGAGCAGTAAAGTCAAGATCCACTTTGCCAACCCAAAAGAGGTACGAGTTGAGGGAAAGCAAGACAGCACGACCACCACCAACGCAACGCCGCTGCGATGCCGACGCCACAGAATGAAAGCACTCGCTCCTCGAGGCTACAACATTTATTCAATCCCGTCGCTTGTGGCTGTCCGCTCCTTTTGGCACAAAAACAAGCCAGCAGTAGTACCAACCAGCCTATCTTCTCTCCTTTTTCATTGCTATTTGTGTCTGTGTGTGTGTGTTCGTCTTTGCTTGTGGCATGGATTCATGGATTATGTCTCAATCTCTCAATTCTGGTCGTCTCGTTCGCCACCACCAGGCAACAGCCAAACTCCAGCACGGTTATTGGATCGAGAGTACATAGGTCTCCATATTCGAAGGAACTTCTCGGAGGGCATTCAATCTTTGTCTGCACCAACTCCGGCACCACCACAGCTGTCTTTCGAGCCGTCGTCACGTTCCATCACTTTGAACTTTCTCACCAAAGTACATCAGGCTCCAAATCTGCATGTGTGAGCAACAATATTGGTCTTCTGCAAAAGGATGTGTGGTATTTTGCTTCAACAAAAGGGTGCAGAAACTTGCTAGTTGAGGATTTTGATAAAAATGTCGGAATTGTTCGTTTGGAGAATATGGGCTACGCGAACAATAAGGACAAACTGTGTGATGAGTATCTAGATGTATAATATGAAACATAATATAAATCCAACTTATGAGATGATGATGAGAAAATGGATGGCATGATGCATGTCGAAGAAAGTTGAAGAAGCTAGAAATTGAAAAGTAATTTCAACAAACTTGCCGGATTTTCTCTCGAGATGGAATTTTCTTGTGTTGCACAATGTTGAGTTAACAAGAACAAATTCCGAAAGCAAACAATGTGACACGTAGAGAAACTTATGCCTGCCTGCTTGCTTGCCGATTCACTAGATGCGAAAATTTCTCTCAAATATTTCTCTCAAGTGGTGAAAATCAGCGATACATACATGTTTGGATCAGTCAAGGAAAACGAACCAGAAACAAAGACATGCCAAATGGCTGAAATATGAATTTGAGTTGTTTTTGGTATTGTATAATACAGAAACGATAACTAGGATATTACACCATGAAAAATTCAAAGGTTTTTGAGGTAGGTGGTTATATAAAAAAGGCCATGAGAAAGCATTGAGATAAGAAAACTAATAGTAAGTATACGTATTTAATATAGTTTGCCCCCATACATTATTAACACTAACAAGTAGTTCCATTAGATTTTACTGCGGCATATGTGCCTATGTACTTATGCATGTTGCGTGTGCGTTGGTGGGTGAGCTAGGAAAGAGCAGAATAAGTGGACTCGACGGAGAGAAAGCGAGATTTGGAAAATAATCGGACGCAAAATTGGTCAAAAAGAAACAAACTCCAAATCATTTCCCACTTACGGCAGTATTCTACAAGTCTCCTGTAATTTTACGGTTCTTGATTCATGTAATTTAAAAACGGAAGAACGATATCTAGTATGGTGATCCATTTGGGCTAATCCTAAGTTTTGGTAAATTATAAAACGGCGAAGACTATGAGCGATTTTTCTGATGTGATATCAAACATCGATTTTATACCATGATACTCATACTTCAGTACCTAGATATCACAAATTTAAGCTCCCCACACCCATTTCGAATATTTTACCAACGACCCTATCCAACCGATAGGCTGGTTGACCGAAAATGTAATGCTTTTTTTATAATTCCTAAATAAATAAGTACTTTAAAAGTTTTCCAAATTTCAAGTAAATCAGGCAGGTAAATTGACAGACGAACAAACAGACAAACTGACAAAACGGTTCCCTAAGCCCTAGCTAGAGGTAAAAATCACTCCATTTACTAATCAAAACCCGAATTTTGATGAGATATTATTATCCAAAAAACTAATTTCTCATCCGAATAATGCAGAATTCACCGAAATTTAGCCCAAATGATCACCATAACAGATCCCGTCTTTTGTGTTCCTATTCTGTAATACGTTTCTGGTTATGGCAAAAGACATCCTGTTGGTGAGCAGGCGATATTCATGCTGAGTGTTATTACTTCGTACACCCACCAGCACAGCGGTTTTATCCATCTTACGAATTTATATAACAATAGCTGAATGGTAGCTGTTGGTAGCTCAATCCTATCGAATTTCGCATCTCAAACCTTAATCTCCGAAACTTGATTCATTCTTCCATCTGCATATGAACCGTACGTGGATGGATAAAATAAATTTACTCTAAATCCGCATCCAACTAAAAAGTAGATAATGGATGTGGTGATGGTGTGGTGTGGTGTGAGCGATGGGAAAAAGTTTGCCATTGTGTTGGACGAACGGTTGATCGCCACCTGGTCGCAAACCAATAATGTATGTCTGCACCAATGTTGTTCCGCGATCCTACACATGGCTTAGCTGAGCTGGATGATCGTAATGGAATAGCCAACTATCGAACCATGTAATATGTAATATATTTTAAACTTAAACTATAAAATATTCAAGAAATAAATCCTGCCCGGGGTGTGAAAGTTGCAACTGGTTAATATGTAGTCAGGCGTGAAGGGGGAGGTTTAGAAACTGAAATTTTCATCTTATCTCCATTCTTTTTCACTTTATCACAAGTTCCTTCAGTTTGACGCTGTGAATGAGAAGCTCGCTCACATTTGCTTTCTCCGGCATGTGCACACATGTAAGGAGTGAGCACCCAGTGTTGGTAACGGAAGCGTATATGTATGCACATATATATATGCATAACTGTGTGATGTGATGGCAAGAATGAATTGAGATGGTTTTATCTGACTGGTATTCGTGATCGTGGTAGCAGCATTGTTATTTGTAACAGGAGAGAAAGGATAGTTAAGACAGAGTGTAATAGAAAGTAATCAATCTTGTAACAGTTCTAATGTGATGTTGATTTTCACTATTTTATTCAGATATCTGGTCGTTGGAATTTTGGCTCTGGATTTTGCGAAGTTTGGACGAGTAAGTTTTTTGGGTTTTAAGTGAGATTTTATTTTATTGTGATTCAAGTAATCGTATAGCAGACTGGTCTATTTTGTAAGCTCATGTACACATATACAACATAGAGCAGATATGTACATACTTGTATAAGACTGACTAAAAAAGAATAACCTGATTGCTATATTAAACCGTATAAATCAATTTTAAACCGCTCTGTTAATAATGATCATTCAAAAGTATTCATCAATAATGACTAGTTGACGATGATTATTATCCTCAAGATGACCATTCACATAAGATTTATCTAGTGTGGTCAAGTCATTTATCTGGTGTCAGTGTGGTCAAGTCATTTATCTGGTGTCAGTGTGGTCAAGTCACTATAATGATGGTAAAATGGTAGGCCATGAGTTTAAACTTTTTTAGGCTCGTCGTTTCAACAGAGTTAAAGTATGAGTCAAAAGCTAGTAACAAAGGAAATCGATTTCACCCAGTGGTATGAAAGTTAAAGGAGCATTAAAGTCTATAACATACAAACTCGTCGCTAATATTATTCTGTTATTAGTCCCTTGACATTGACATGGCATAAAGGTGCGTTTATGCTTCACGTCATCGTCACGTCCTCCTTCAAATCCGATTTTTTGATTGGTTAAAATTTTTAATTGTCGTAGTGATAATTTAGTTCAGCCAATCAAAAAATCGGATTTGAAGGAGGACGTGACGATGACGTGAAGCATAAACACCACTTAAGTTTAAAAAAATATTGAGCGTACTCACGTCAACCTTCGCATATCTCGCATATCTCGCAAATTGAGCATAGCAACATAACTTGCGAAGTTTTGCGAAATTTGCGAGACTTCGCAAAACTTTTGCTGGAAAACCATGGGATTTTTTTCGCAAATTTACCCAGCAATTGAGCATGTTCTTATTTCGCAAAATTATTTCGCAAGATTATTTTGCAAGATTAAACTCTATCAAAATCGATAAAAATTACAGATAATTTTAGTCTTATCCATAATTTAAATTACGGTGAAATGGCTGCTGGTCGTGTCAAAGCGAAAAAAGCTAAAACTGTTGAGCCGAAGTGCGATAGCGAAAACCCAGAAGCTAAACCAAAACCGGTTTCTTTTCAAGTTTTTCGAAGACGGTGGACGGACGATGAAAATAAAATCCTTCTCAACTATCTTACAAGTGTTGTCAAACAAGGAAAGCCCCTGGAAAAGCCGAATGCTACAATTTTCTATCAAAACGCTGTGGAGAAATTAAAATTGGAGGACTGCTCAGGGAATCAGCTCAAAAATCAGGTCAAAAATTTAAAGAAGAAATACATGGATGCTATTGAATGGAGAAGCAAAACAGGACAAGGAGTGTTACTCGAGGAAGGTGAAGAAAGTGTGAAGAGTGAGTGAATTGATCATATTCATATCAAATATAAGCCAGTAAAATACCTGTATCGTTTTGTACGTAATTTTAGAAGTGCTATTAAAGCGTTGCCCCTTCTTTGATGAGATGGACGAAATATATGGTACCAGAACCAACATTAATCCACCATACCTCCACGACTCATCCATTTCAATCGAATCTATCATGGAGGACATTCAATTGCAAAACAGCGAAGAGTATGACATGCCAGGACAAATCGAGCAAGAAATTGGTGTCACAATGTCGTCCAGAAATACGGTACAAAGTCATACTAGCACAAATAAAAATAAGCGGAAGAGTTCGGAGAGTACGGGACTAGAAATCCTTGGTCAGACTGCATTGCTTCGGTTTGAAGTACAGCAAGGAGAGCTGGAACTGTCCAAAGAAAAATGGGAAGATGAAAAACGTCGTCGAGACTCGCAATACGAGCTGGATTTGAAAAAATTTGACCATGAGCAAAAAATGGATATGGAGAGGATAGAACTTGAGAAGACTCGTCTCAAAAATGAATTTGAACTCGCCAAGTTAAAAATCGAACTAGAATTTAAGCATAAATTGGAGTTATCTAAAATGAATTAATGCACCAGTTTTGAATTTTTTGAATTAAAATTTGTTTAAACTATTACAGTTCACAAAAACTTGTTACAAACAAAATTAAAGATCTCAATACGTTTAACCTCGTCGCTATCACTGAATAAACTAGTGTCCGCTTCTTCAATCTCCTCGTGTAGATAATCGTTGTAATCCTCCTTTGGAATTGAGTCTCGAATAATGTTGTAAAGGATGCAACACGACGTAATCCATTGACAAACTAATTTGTGACTTTTCTTGTTTTTAATCCTGATTCTTAAACCCTTGAGACTTGAAAACACTTCTTTGATAACGCCAAACGTGCATTCAATTTTGACTCGGTGTGATGAAAAATATTTATTAAATTTTCTCCTCTCAATGGTTGTTCCAGTCGTTGCATTATTTCGAAAGGGTGTCACAACGTATTGACTATTGGGATATGCTGAGTCACCCGCTATCCATTGTCCATTTGATAGATATTTATTGAGGTTTCCCCCAATATCCGAATTTGCAAACACACGGGCATCATGCACCGATCCTGGGTACCAAACGAAGATGTTCCGAATAGAATGGTTATTGTCGCACACCGCTTGAAGCTGTACTGCATATCTCTGCTTTCTTGTGTAATAAGATTCTGGGTCCTCAACAGGAGATTCCTCTAAAACGATATGTGACCCATCAATGTACCCAATACATTTCGGCAATGAATCCTCCATGTCGTATTCAATCCTAACCCTTTCCATTTCTGTTGGCCAGTACAACCATCTTTTTTCAATAGCACAAATGGCCTAGCAAAATAATCAAGTTTTACACATAATCATAATAATCCGTTAGCTTAATTACAACAATAATGAAGCTTACTATTATCACTCGGGAAATGATTTTCATTATGGTCCCCCCATCACCAACTCCAAATAACGCTGCCGTATTTGCTAGAGAACTCCCAGTTCCATCAAACCCAAATTTGTATAGAGCTATAGCTAATTGCTTCTCGACAGGAACTTGCTTTCCATAATTCTTGGATTTGAAAACCTTGTCATCTTGAATTTCTTGTAAAATTTTTCCAAAGTTGTAACGTGACACCCTCAAATATGATTTGAAGCGATGATCGTCGAGAGTTGGAAGTACGATGGAGAACCACTGATCGGATTTGGGAACTGGATTACGTGGAACTGTCGATCTCATCATTTTAACCAGGACAATATCTTGTATGGTGTCGTCGAAAATATTTCCAATAGATGACTCATTGGAATTTACTATATTCACAACGGCTAGTTCACAAATACGTTGAATTAAAACTTTTTTCTGCGAAATTTTGGGCATTTTTGCAAACAGATAAAGCATAAAAGATACAGCATTGAGTTTGCGAAATTTGTTTTGCGAATCCCCTCACGACAAAAATTTTTTGAGCTTCGCAAGTTTGCTAAATGAGTTGCGATGCGAAATAAGACGTTGTCGTGAGTACGCCCATTATTTTAGCAATAGATTTAATAGAAAGTTCGCCTTATGAATGTTTTTATTAGAGTTATACATAAATGCAAATGTTTTCATTCTACGGTAGGATTTTCACCACTGTCATGATAATAACTTGTTCTCATGTTCAAGAAATTATTTATTTTGATGGTTATTACTGAATTGAGAAAAATGTGCTCTCAGGTCTTGATGTCCTTTGCTGTTCCGCAAGTATCCTCCATCTCTTAGCAGTTGCTTTGGATAGGTAAGTGCACCGTATTATGCACACGTTATTCGTGTGAACGTGTCTGTCGATTTGGATGAACATACATATTTGCATTTGTGGTTTGGATTATGGATGGTGGTTCCGACCACCGAATTGAATTTTGAGTTATCCTTCCCACATGATGCAGACAAATATGTTACGTATGCAGATGATCCGAAACATGTGTGTGTATTGGATCCGGCATTAGCCATTCTCATCCTCCTGCTGGATGAAAATGTATCCAGGCTTTGTGGAATAAATTAAGCTGAGAGAGTGAAAGCTGGTGAAACCTTAATGGCAGAATCGGTTGGCCATGATGTGTAGTTTATGTTGGGGTTAAGCTGGGCATCGAGATCGAGAATCTCGATGAGCTTGCCCATCCTGTTTTCATTCCTACTCGTCGTCGCCCTGCCTGCCTGCCCGGTGCCTGTGCTCCATTTTATTGAGCTTCGTTTTCCATGGCTCAATGAGAATCCATGAGATTGAATGATTTCAAATGTAATGGGTAAATCCTTTCAAAGCCAATGTTGGGTCGTTTTTCACACACCAGAAGGCCATTCCAGTCGCCATGTAACGTTTTATCATCCCTGTACTCCATTGTCCAACACAGAGTCCATCTTCGCATTCCTCCTCGTAACAAATGACCGTGTGAAGTTTTGTGGCATGCTCAGTTAAAAAGGTTTTATACTTTGTAGGTTAATAAAAACACTGGAATAATTTGATATAGATTCTGGGCGGTAAGCCGTATAAATTGGACTGTGAACAGAAACGTAACCCACATCAACCTTATGATACTCCTCGTATGGCTGGTCGCTTTCCTCGTCTCAGTTGCCCCGCTTTTGGGGTGGAAGGACCCCCACTTTCAGGACAGGATCGAAGATAACAGGTGAGACATTTTTATAACTCATTTTTCTCTTTCGACAGATCGAACAAAAAATTCTCATCATCGCCAACACATTTGAGTCGTGCTGAGGATTGTTACTTGAATTACACCACAATTTCCCCTGCATTCGCTTAACTCCATTAACTTTCATATCCTCGAGGATTGCGGCCTACCCTTCAAACCCACTTTTCCACGTACTTTTGACATTCTCTAATATACTTTTACAAGTCCGTGATTCGCCAAACTTTCTCCTACTTTGCCCAAAGACAGTTTTCCGTAATAGATAAGTGTATACTGGTAGAGCAAGTACGATCGGTGGGAAAATGGCAAATATAATAACCCCTCAAACCAAGGAACATAAGTGCATACATAGAGAGCGAAAAGTTGTTTTCTTGATTCATCCCATGAAATGCACAAGATAGTCATTTAACTAGAATTCATATCATGCCTGAACACTGTGTGTCATAAATTTCAGTTATGTAATTAGAAAAACACCATAACTTTCTCCAGTACGAGTCGCTATGTAGCATGTACTTACAAATATCTGGGCCTCTCCAGCAATAGATCTTCCAGAGAACCGACCACGAAACAAGCGTGGCCAAGTAGAAGACCATTATGTAGTCAAGAGTGACACTACGATGTGTGTAGCACCAGGAGGAGAGAGTGAAAAAATATTTTTAATCATTTGAATCTTTCGACTAAATTACCTCTCGCTTCTCGTGCATCGTGTTGCTGAGGGTGGCGGAGAAGAATCACTGTGCTCACACATAGTTTACACTCGATTTTATAATGGCTGAGGAGGAGTGAACTCCTCGTAAGAAAAAGCAGAAGATGAGTGCATGTACGTACGTAAGTACATGTGTATGTAGTGGGAGAAAGGAGCTCATCTTCAGCTTTCTTGGCTTGGTTGTGAGATCGTATAGCTCTCCATGTAAATTTTAATACTTCTCCATTCATTGTCACGACCTTTTAGTCTTTTACTGCAGCAGTATGTATGTAAATAGAGTGCATGGCTGCTCATGGAGTAATTCAAGGAGTAATTTATAAAGTTGCTGCTGCGGATGTTTCCTAACTACCGGAGCCCAAATGGCAGAAGGCTATTAAATGTGTTCTTCCTCTACTTCCTCTGATTATATATCCAATTCCTTCACACCCGTCCTTATGAGAAGGAAATGCAGATACCGATACGCATCCTTTTTCAGCCAATTCAATTTCGCTCCCAAGTTCATTTGAACACTGTGGGACTTCAGATAGCTGAACTGAATTAAATCAATGAAATCATCTTCTTGGAGTCATATCTGTCACTCATTTTTGCGAGATTCAAAAGAATCTTTCGTATTATTAAAATTAATGAATTCAAGCTCCGCTGAGTTTATCGTCGTCGTCGTCGTCGTCTATGGCATATCTTGCAGTGGTACTTTCACTTTACCGCGATTACTGCAAAGTATAGGGTTTCTTTTTATATTCGTATCCTTCATTTCTAATGCATATAAAGATTTATCTCCACAAAATCACCTATATTGAAGTCTGAGTAGGATTGGAATATCTAACCTCAAGTACTCATTTTTGGCACTGTCAGCTCTGAAAAATTTATAATTCGAGCAGGCCATTAGGTTTCTACCAAGTCAGAAGAAGCAATTACGTTTTACACTTTTTGTAAAGGCCTCAAAAATACAAGTCTCGTCAGTCATAATAAGGAAATCAAATTGTGTAGAATGAAAATGTAAGATTTCTTCGTGATGATATAGCAAATTTCAATACCTCAGAAACGAGGTTGGTTCCATGCACAGACTTGAATTATACATACTGTTCCATGTAACTACATATACATAGGCACGAAACATGAGCAGCAGCAGGTTATATATGTGACATATGATTCCAAGTACAGCGAAACTGTGGCAGGATTAGGTCAAAGGATCCGAATTCCTCTTGAATGGGAGAAAGTTTTGAGCGCATGCAGAAAAAGAACAAGGTTTGCTTATTCCTTTTGAGTTGAGTAGATTACCACGATTTCAGACACTTCATTTTCTTTTTTGAGAAAAAAGTTGACCAAAGATGAGCTTTTCTTTTGAAAGGAGCCCAACTCACACAACTTTTTAGCCCGAGTCAGGGCTTATGGAACCGTCATGTCCGTCCGTCTGTCTGTCTGTCTGTCTGTCTGTCCGGCACGATAGAGCCAAAACGGCTGAACCGATTGACCTGAAATTTTTACCATACACATATTGGACAAAGTTAGGAAACGAGTTCGAAGATGGGCGTGATCGGTCCAGTGGTTGACCGGTGGGGGTCATCGGAGTGGGTGGGGTACTATGTACCAAAATTTCAAAATTGTTGTAGAGAGCTGAAATTTGGTACAGAGGTTGCTAATGGCTCCTAATAGATAAAAATGACTTCTAGTTGGAAAAATTTTCATCTTGAGTGACCCTATCGGGTGACCCATACCGATTTTTCAAAACCATCATATCCAACTGAAATTTGGTGGAGAGGTTGCTTATGGGTTTTAATGAAAGAATATGAGATGATATTGGTAAAATTTTTATCTGGAGCGACCCTATGGGGTGATCCATACCGATTTTTAGAAATTGCTTTAAAAAGTTGAAATCCGGCACAATTATACTTAATGGCTTCTAATTAAAGAATATGAAGTTAAAAGTGAGCAAAGTGCAACCAGAGTGACCCTATGGGGTGACCCATACAGATTTTTAAAAATCGTTATATTGAGCTGAAATTTGATATGGAGGCTGAAAAAGTGAAAACCACTGCTGGGTAGCACATGCATACAGCTTAGAACTTCAGGATGTTAAAGAAGCCCACTGGTCATGGTGGTCAAGGCACATGATTTGTAACTAATTCAAAAATTTGGTACCAAATGGTAGAAACTATCTAATAAACTTTTAACCATCCACAACGCGGAAGTTGGTGATATTATGTCGGTCAATTCGGAAAAAAAATTAGAAGCGGGCTCTGACTTATTGAGTCAGGGACTATGCCCCTGACTCGGGCTATATGGAGTCTGCACTGTAGGTTTTTTCTTCCGTATCGCGCTTATCAGCATTAAGATTTATCATCATGGAGTAGTGTTGACTGAGCTGGCTGACATTTAATCCTTTTATGCAATCAACAATATCAGCCATTCGACATGACTTGCTGTTGATGCAAAATCTTTCCAAAAGTTTTCGACAGCAGTTTTGTACAACATTGTGTTACACAGTGCGAAAATTTGATACATTTCCACCCACCAGTAAGAGCGAATCATCAAATTCTGCTTTTGTAAACTTGGTTCTGGTTGAAGGGGTTCTGGTTGAAGGGGTTCAAAAACTGCCTGTCAATGAATTTTCGGATAAAATCTTAAGAACTACAACTAGACACTTTTCTGGTGTCGTTCCATAACTTTGTAATCTAGAAAAGTAAACCAGCCTGCTCTTGCTGCTGCGCCCATCCACCCAAGTCTGAGATAGACGTCGTTTGCATAAACAAGTTGAATATCTTGAGCCCTACTTCAAGGATGATTCCACAATTTCTTGCCACGAACTCTGAATACGAAATTCGATTACTTTACTACTCCATTGCATTTTACAATTTTACGTCCTCGCGAACTGCACCATCCGCGTTTGCAACTGTATTTACGTCCCAATAACCCGTAATGATCATCTTCCCTGACAACTTTCTCCTTTCTTCTTGTAAAAGTGGGGCCAAAGGAACAAAAAGGTGAAGTTGGAAAGAAAGGTGAAAGTGAAGTAAAAATACACACAGTTCAACCAATGCATACCTATAAGTTGGACAGATATCTGACAGACTCTTTGATTACACTTTCTACAAATGGATAAGATCTGAGGGATTTAGATCAACTCCAGTTTACCTCCTCCTCCTACAGAATTGATTCAATTTTATTTATTTGACACTCAAATGTTGTGAGGAAAGCACAAGCGTGGCTGCATGGATAGGAATGCAGCAGGGATAAAGTGTACTCACACAGCATAAAATTAACCATTAATCGCATTCGCATCACGTGAAATTGAACTCCAGTCAAGAACAAGAAGTCGGCTGTCGAATCTAGAATAATGCCAATGCCACTACTAAAAAATACGTCACGGGTGATGGGAGCTTATTTCCATTCACCTACAACTTACTTCAATTTCAATGTTTTACCTTTTCATACTCGTCCAACAATATTGCATTGGAAGATGATCGATTTTTTTTAACTTTGTTTCAGATGCATGGTCAGCCCTGATGTGGGTTATCAGGTTTTTGCCACCGTTTCCACATTCTACGCTCCAACAGTATTAATTTTCATCCTCTACTGGAAAATATGGCAAACTGCAAAGGTTCAATAAATAAGGTAATTAATAAATTAATTAAAGGTCTAATCCACGTCTTGGTTTTGTGCAAAGACGCGAATTCGACACCGGGTTGGAAAAGCAAATAATCATAAACTTCCAACATCCACCTCAACCACAACAATCGGAGCTGCCAAAACTGCTATTCCACTGTCCAGCACATTCTCCGCTGACGAGCTTGCCACGGGTAATCCATTTAAATACAAACTTGAGCTTATGTATTTGTATAATCGACTCCTCATAATATGGAATATGCATTTTCAATTGCTTAAAATTTCGTAGGCTTGAGATTATATAAATTCATGAACCCCACGATTCATGCAAAATGATAACCATAATGAGCTAATTATTATTCGAAAATGCATGTACATATGTCAATGAAACGTGTTGAACTGTTGTCACAGTGGAAACGAGTACAGAGTCTGTCATGGCAAGTCCGACTGTTGCGGCGGAAGGGCAGGAAATGGAGCAGCTTGCACCACCAGCAGTCGCATCATCAGTTATCACTTGCGACGACGACTCAGGGGTCAACCCTTCCATTGGACCCTCAGACAATTTGCGACCTCCGTGTAGCCCTTTCCGAGCATCACAGGCCTCACTCTCCTCTCCAGATCTAGAAGCCAACAGCTCCAACCAAATCTCAAACTCAAATAAGCATATGAAAGATCTTCAAAAGCAGAAGGAGACACTCGAAGCCAAACGGGAACGCAAGGCCGCCAAGACTTTAGCCGTGATAACCGTGAGTCAAAATTTATATGATCATTGTCTCTGCATAACTACCTTTTGCATCATCATTATAATCTGCGCACATTCAAGTACTCAAAGGTTACGTATGTATGTGTAGGACTCTTTCGCTCCCGAATTTATAAAGTTTCTGTGCATGCATTCAAAACCAACCACCATCTTTTTGCAATTAATGATCAGCCCTGTTTGCATTTGAAATATAACAAACCGAATTGTAATTCACGATTACAAATAATTTATGGTAATATTTTATTACACATTTATTGCAGGGTTGCTTCATGGTCTGTTGGGGACCGTTCTTTCTTCAGGTGCTCATTATGGCTCTTTGTACCGAATGCTGGCTGCCAGAGTACATTGCCAACGCTTTCCAGTGGTGAGTACTAGTACAATTAAATTGACTGATGACGTCAATGTATTTCTCCAGCTAATTGTCCTGTCAAATTGTTTCAATATCACCTCACCGAGATAATTTTCACTGTACCAATATGCACACCAGCTGTATCTTCTGCAAAATATAGAATACTTTGTCTATTCAAATTTTGATATGTGAGTATGAATGGGACTGATTTATAGTACTTATTTTCTCGACTGTAAAATCATTTATTCTAACGAATGTACATACGCAGTGATCCAATTACTAATGTTAAACATAATATTTATCAAAATTTCTTGGTGTCTACGACAGGTTGGGGTACATCAACTCAACTCTAAATCCAGGTACCCAATATCCAGGTTATTTATTGGTGTCTATTTATAAAATTAACCTTTTTCCACAGTGATTTATACAATATTCAATGCGGAATTTCGACAAGCATTTAAGAGAATATTGTTCGGGAGGCAACATAAGACTGCCCGTAGACGTCACTGAATTTACCTTTCATCATCAACCACGGTGCTCTATCTGACTAACTAATCAACGGAGAAAGTACTCCACAAATCCTGACTAATCAGAGCTGTGGATCCAGCTCGAAGAATAATATTCAATAATCGACACCAATTCACTCATGCAAATCAACTCAAAGATTTTTTTACGTCTCAGATTGGTGTTTCTTATCGCGAGTAACTCAGTATTGTGTGTATCTGATGAGTTTCTTGGCTCATTCTATGTCATACTCTCGGTTCGGTCGTTATACTCTGTCACAGATAACAGAACTATAGTTATCTGCGTATAGTATGTACTGCATATATTCCGAACAGAACTAAAGTGTCAGTGCTCCACCCAACATAGATTTGCATTTGTCACTAACGATCAACTGAGGGTAATGTCACTGACTCGTCGTCGACGACAATCTACAAAAGTGAACAGAATTACTAGTGTAACTAAATAATTATGCATATTCATATAAGTGTACGTAATTTATATTAAGCTTATTTTACGTGTTTCAGATTGTTTGATTTGATTAATAAAAACACCATATTCATTTAGCAGTAAATACGGAAATGACGATAATAAAATCCTTGGCATTCGAGCGGTTGTCAATTTCAGAGCAACAACTGCACGGAATCCATAACTCGGAGTTGATAAAGACTTGATATCAGGTTGGAGGGGGTGGTTTGGTGTGGCGGAGATGGGCCGATTCTTGGAGTTCAAAACTCTATACATACTTACGTAGATATTTCTGCAGAGGGGTTTTTGTACTCGTCGTCGCATGGGCGACAATTATATGTATGAGGTTATCCCACACTTTGGAACGGAGTATGCTGCTCATCGTTTGTCGGAAGAAGATAAGTTGGATGATTAGGTCATTGAATGAACGCGTATAATACACATTATGTATGTATGTTGGTACATATATGCAGGATACACATAATACGTATGTACATATGTAGTCAGTCGCAGAACGAGAGAATCTACAGTCGGAGTGTATTCATCTCGGGATTTTTCTTCGTCACGATAATACTCCCAAAATAGCATTTTGTCATCCATATTTAGATGGTTTGGGTTCTTGTGCCAAGATTCTATTTCAGTATAGAACGAACCAACGAACGTACGGTCTAGTTTCCCCAAAAACTTGTTCGGAAGAAGAATGCAGGAGAAACATTAGTCGAAATCTTATTCACTACTTCGACGTTGAGATCTGCACCTCGTATCGTCTCCCGCAGTTCAAATCTTAACTAGCCGTAACAGAATCCCTGCATTCTCGTCTCCGTCTGCTGCTGGTGCACCCATTTAATTAATTTCACAGTGAAAGTGAAAACGTGAAAATAGTTTTGTTTTACATTTTTCTAGAAAATTTGATATAATTTACGCTTATATTAGTGCACCACGTAGAATACTTGGTGGTCATCATCATCATGGATCAATTCGATCAATTGCTGACGTGTGCAATTTGCTTGGATAGATATAGGAATCCAAAACTGCTACCTTGCCAGCATTCATTTTGTGTTGAATGCCTCGAAGGATTGGTCGACTACGTCCGAAAACAAGTAAGTTTTCTCCATGCGTAATTATAATGCTTCAAACTTGATCTTGAACTTCGTCTCTCCTCCTGAGAAATTTGAATTATTGAATTAATCAACACAATAGATGCACATTATCCCTTTTCATCCGTTATATTTTAAAAATTGACTCTTAAATCGTGCTTGAATTGATATGTCATAGTGCATACGTATGTACGTGTAGCGTCTCTCATCACCGCAGTTCTCCCAATCATCGTGACACATCTTTCTGACGACACAGCATGACTTGGACATTTGAATTTTCATCTTTTGGCTCTTGAATTCTACGACTACTTCTACAATATGTGCAAACGTTCAAATGAACTCAGGCCAAGGAGTATGGAATATGTCAACAGATTTGGTCTACGTGTAGTAATATCAGAGTGTGTATCTCGTCACCTCACCGGCTGAATTGGAGTTGGATGCGAACAGAATAAGTAAATAGGCAAATGCATGCATTGTGATGGAGCCGAGCTTCCGACGATATGAAGATCACTGTGATTTCCCCTTTTCCATCCTGTTTTAACACTTTTCTTGCCAGGAGCATCATGACGATTTGCATTTTGCTTGTCATCCTGCCGAACAATTTAACTTACATAAAAGTGCAACAGAAAAAAAGAAGTCAAGTGTAATAACCTAAATATGTCAAAAGGTGTAGAGAAACGGGGAAAAGATCACTGTAAATTTCGTGTAGATCACGAAAAAGGACTGGCCGAAACTAGCACTCATACATTTTTCTCTATTCTTTTCTGGTGGACGAGGTTTATATCTCATGCCTAAAATCACCATTTGCAGGGTAAACTTAACTTCCCAAACTCACAAGGAAGGTGATCCTCATGCTAGCACCTTCGACAACTATTTATATCATGCATGCCACCCAAGTTTGTTCAACTTTGAAAATGCAACGTGTGAAAGTCGCCACCTGATAAGGGAAGTTTTTCTACATACAAATACACACAGTGTCCGAAAGCTGACTGGATCCTTTGCGGTACTGATGCTGCTGTAAAAAGGAAGCACGAAACCAAGGAAAGTATGTCCGTAAACCTGGTTTCGACCAATCGATGGTGATGTCATATTTCAACCTCGCACGCCCACCGACAGATAACCTACAATAGTTTACTACCACTACGACATACAAATGCGATATGTATAAACAAGCATCCTATTGCAAAATACGTACAATTATTATGTCAGTTTGACAACCATTCGCATTCACAACCCATACTAAACATGCTGTTATACAATTCATTGCTGCTGCTGCCTCCACACATGGGAAAGTGAACAGAAACTCATGAATGTCGAAGTTGGATGACAGTTTAGTTGTGATGCTCATTCAGAATTGAGGAGGAAGTTCTTTACACTTGTCCATGATGATTATGCGATTTCAAAATTCTCTTTGCATCTCCACCGTCTACTCGTGTTCAGCAAAAGTCCACGTCCAGACCAACTTTCGACTTCCATCGCGGCTAGTATGCTGTCAAACTTTCTCCCATCATCATTGTCGTATATCATTGTGTGCTCACCAGAGAGCACGTTTGTTTATAAGCTAGATAAACTACGTGTATGTATGGTCCTCCCCATACACGCACACAGTAATCTGCAGCTTAGCCATGTAATGCTGCCATGTTGATAAAGGAAAATAGAGTGAACGACCAAGTTGAGACCAAATTTATTATTATTATTGCTATTATCTGCACTACTACAACTGTGCGCACCGTGGGCAATAAATTTTATAATAGAATTTTGTGACATTCTTCTGTTATTTAATGAGGTGACGAGTACAAACAACAGACAAAGCCTTTCACCACTTGCAGGATTAGGATGGATCGGAATCATCATTGTTTGCTTATTAGATAGTTAGGCGAATGAATGGTTTTTCAGCTAAAGCTTCACTAATGGGACAATGCAGCACTACCGGTCGACTGCGTTGCTGTGAATACATGGATAGTAAATACTACTTGTTACTGTTGTGCCGTAGTCAATGTTCCGAAATAAATGTAACAATGTTTAGTTTAATCCTGACGCTAGTATACCAGAGGGACAGGAGCTTCATCCCTCCACACAGCTATTCCCTACACGAGTGAGTTTTCACAAGTTCCAGACAAAATGCCAACAGGAGTTTTCCAAGAATAAGATTGTGTTTTATTAAACTTTTCATTTGCTGTAATGTCAAATTCTGTACAAATACAGAACACGACGGCTGCTCCTCTGGGAATAACTTTCACGTGAATGTAGACGACTGACAGTTGTTGTAGTCTCATATGTAGGTGATGGCTGTGGAATGACCTGACTTTTGCATGTGTACGAATCTGTATGCATGTATCTGCGAGTCTTCCTCGTTACGCCAACCTGGCACATCATAATCGTCTTGAATGTGAAGCTGTTTAAGAAAAAAAACTCAATATGCATTATTCTCAGTTTCAGTGAAATGGAAATAGAGTGAAACTTACACAAATATATATTGCGAATTGGGAGTAAAAATTCATTCAATTTCAAAAGACGTAGTTCAAAAGTTTGTGCTTACTTTCGTACTCGCAACCAGTCGCAGCATTGTGAGTGACGGCAAAGATTGTTGCATTTTTAATACTATGGTCTATTCGACGTTCTTTATTGTCACGTAATAATGGTGGTGGAGGAGAGCTACACAAATTTCCTCGTTGTACTACAATTACTTTCTCCAACTTTTTACTTTTCTTGTAATTTACGTCAAGTCCAATTCCAGTTCACTTTCTTTTTGTGTGTGCGGAGACCTTCAGAAGGAGATAGAAAAAAGAAAGTGCTGCTGCTGTGAGTGAGTGAGTGCGGGCTGAATATGTGGGTTATACAACGGTAAAGCCTCTATTCAGCTCTGGAGCTAGTTTAGGTCACAATAAACGGCAAGTAAAGCGGAACGATGTATGCAGTTGGTCCATGGAATCATGCTTTTTTACCGAACTTGCACGGTTTGTTCATATTCGTTTGCAAAGAGTGAGGAGTAATCATTCATTGTAAATAGACAGTAGTTGGTTCTGAAAATAAACTTCATGAATTGGGGAGCACGTACATGGAGAGTCGGCCAGAGTAGCCGATTTATGTATACATACATAGTTTGTGTGGTTGGTGGATCCTGTGTAGATCATGATGATGATGCAGAGATAGTTTTGTACAGAAGTGGTCATGGATAAATCTCGACTTGCTCCTTCATCTTCGTCGTCGTCCCTACTGAAATCCGGCCTAGTAGCGAAGGAGAAAGTGGGATAAGGGCATTAGAAGAAATAATAGATGAAGGAAGTACACACTTGTTTTTTGCAGGGACTCCGAGAAGATTTATCGCTGTAGGAGCAACTTCAGTTCGACTTGACATGTTAGAAAAACATTTCATTTTCCAGAAATATTATTTCCAAATGGTTGATGTGTAACAATTCCACTCTACAAACCTTCATATTGCATTACATTCATTCTCCTTTCGCCAAAAAAAAGTATGATGACTCGAGAGAGTGGGAAGGAGGGGGAACTTCCTTCCTTTTGGTGAGAGAGACATGGAATGGAAGACATGATATGTGTGCGCTATGAGGAGCTGTGATATGTACATACGCAATAGTACCCCAGCCCTAATTACCCCATTTCTTCAGAGTCAGAATGGTGATCACTGCAAAATAGTTGCATAAATCTTGAAGCCCATTCTTCTTCTTTTTGAGCTACGTTTTGGTGGTGGGGACAATAAGTGGGCTAATATATTTCACACAAAAATTCCATTGAAACGAGAAATATATGCCATAATGTTACATGCAAACAAATATAAAGCTGGATTATTATATATTCATCAAGTTTTTATTCCTTTTAAAAGATAAAATGTCCAGAATGCAGGGCAGAGCACAGGGTCGGCTACCAAGTAAGTTATACATTTTTGAATGTAATACTATTATGTGTGTACATTGCATATGTATGTATTCAGTATGTTTTTTTAAATCAGTGGAGGGCGAAATTATAAATTCGTCCAGATGAGATAAAAATATTTTCAACTTGTAATTGACAGATGATTTCAAGCTCGTTTTGTATGTATGTACGAGGTCGTAGATAAGCATTAAGCTCTATGTAGTCATTTCTAATATCACTTGCAAGCAATTTTTGCCTTCAATGCACAAATATCAAAATGCAATGTTTGATGAACCGTCTTATTACTAGTTATGCACATGTATATGTAAATATGTAATCCATGTGGGAGCAAAAGTGGAGCAAATTGCCAAAATAAATAAATGAGCACACGTTGCGTGGGCGAATTTTATGTAAACTATCGGGAGTTCGGCTCACCAGACTTATATATTTAACCCTGAAACCTCGAACATACATACATACGTATACATACAGAGATTAATTAAAAGTTGGGTGGTAGCGTGGGCGAATTGGAAATTGGCAAAGAAATGAATGACTCAATTGTGTCACACGTATTTGCTTAAAGTACGTATCGATATGATAGATTTTACTGGGATATTTGTGTATTTGAATAGGGTGTTGCAGGATTCCCAACCAATGTGACACTCCAACGATTTCTAGAATTGCACATCGACTTAACTGGCGAACTTCCAGACCCATTTTCAAACCAAGGTGAACAAAAATTAATTTTTACCTTCAAACGAAGTTCCACAGATTGGTTCTGCGGGGTCAAATATTTATTGTACTCATAATTCATTGTCTGATTGGGCTATTTTTATTTCATCTGCTCCTCTGGAAAACGAACAAAACCAACCAAGCAGTGATGGAAAGATGTCAAATTTGCAGTATGAACATCAATGATAATTTTGCATTATGCTTATCCTATGATATTTTCATATGTATGTAAATGCGTAGGTGAGAAGCAATACCTAAATACTTGCAGTCATTGTGACAAGAAAATATGTGGAGACTGCAAAGATGGTAAGAGTATCCCAAAGTTTGTCTGTTGGAGGTTTCTGTGAAAAAGATCATTAAATCTAGCAATTCCAGAAAAAAAATCCAGCTGATACTTTTTTAAAAGTTATCATTGGTGAAAGTTGACTATGTATTTTTTGCCTTATTTATTTCAGCATTACTGGTCATAAAATTAGATCTTTTGGTCGATTCTTTTTTACACATTCCTCTTTGCAGAGTTGCACAATGACGTTAATCTAGTTTGCAAAAATAGTAATGTTAGTCTGCCTGCATTCTTTGTGTTGCCTTATCCTCATGTAATCTTTTTTGACAGCTCATGTGGATGTGCTGAAACGAGAAATACAAAGAATTAACAACCAGGTTAAGAGGGTTTTAAATCGACTAGAAGACGCAATCTGCACAATAGATAAAAACACGATGCATCTGCAAACCAACAGTATAAGTGTGATAGAGGAAATAGAGGACATTTACAGGTAACGAGCTTCTGGCTGTTGATTGACGAGTGTCACTAAATAACATCGAGTGTGAAAGAAGAGCTAAAGAATAGAGTGTGAGAACCACATGCACAAACTAACCAAGGAATTTCAGCCTCACGCTTCTAGTCTGTCTAATGGACTAATGGACCGTCCATTCCTAACGGCTTTGACTAACGGCCATTTTTGTCATCTGACGCCAGATTCTACAATTTATCAATTTTGAACTCATTTGATTCAGACGGTTGTCAAAGGCGCTGAAAGATCGTGCGGAACACTTGAAACATGAGGTGGAAAGGTACCTGGGAAATGAACTCAAGGTGAGTCGTTGGCGAGAATCGGGGTATGCACACATAAAGCACATGCGGTTATACATAACTAACATTTATATTAATATGGGTTTCTTTACGATTTAGCAACTGAGCTCATTTCGCGCAAACTTAGAACAGGAAGTGGCAAATATCCAATCCAACTGCGATTTAGTAGAGAAGTATATGGTGAATGAACATGGAACACAAATGACCTGGCAGGCACGTCTACTTTCACTTTCGCTTGTTTATAAACTAAGCATGCTGTCACTCTTGAAACAACCAACTCCTAGACAATAAATTCTTTCTAGCCGATTTATGTATATGGCTTAGATTTAGTATACACGGTTTAATTATATAGTTGCTGCAAATTATTTCATTTTATGCTGACGAGATTTTTAATACTGCCAATTGCTATTTATAATTATAGGACAATGAGCTTATGGATACGAAGGATGTTTTTTTGAGGACGATGGAATTTATTCGTAATTTCTTTTGAACTTTAAATTAAACTTTGCGGATTTACATAATCATTATTAAATATAAATTATAAAGGTAACTTTGAATACGAGCCGGGAGATTATGCTCGCAGAATCAAATTTTCTATGAACGTGGATCCAAACAAATCGGCCATGGACTTGGGAACTTTTGCAGGCATGACATTTCACTCCTCATTTATTCTCAACTCTCTGTATTGATATTACTAAGCAATTATGGATGCATGTCATGATAACACATTGTTATGGACTGCAGATGTCTACATCCCTCCAGTTAGCCAACCTCTCAACTTTCTCAACAACCCCAACCAGTCAGGACTCGGATCCCAACTTTCTCCTGGTCAAGGGTCTGCATTAATGCGTAGCAAATCCGGTAAGGTTATCTATAAGCAAAATTAATTGTATGTCCATACATTTTGCATATTTTGCATACTTTATATTTCTCGTAAATACAATGAATTTCTTTGTCCCACCAGACCACCGTCTTACAACGCAGTATAGGAACATGCAAGATGACGATGAATCTGGTTCTGGGAGTTATGGGTCAGGAAGTGGCAGGAAGTTCGGTGACCCTCGACATCCTCGAACGTATGGTCAAGATGGAGAAGATGGGACTGGGGGAGACCGCAAGTCTCGCTTTAGATCCCGGTTTACTCGACATTTGGAGAGCTCCTTTGAGGAGCCAGAGCCTCCTCAGGGTCGCGGTGTCCGGTTCGAACAACCTGTTAAAGAACGGGAACGAGTGCTGGATACGGATGACGCAAGCAAAGGTTAGCCTAGGCTCCCAACGGATTGCGAACTTTTGCTTTCCAATGTGTGCATTGTCTAACATAGGAATTAATGCATATTTTGGATTGGCCTTGTGTAACAAATTTATGTTGGTACTTATTCTCGATAAGATTTTGCTTTTTTGTGTGAAGATACATTTTCTCGAGAGCGTGCAACCTTGTGATTGTCTAAAGTAAAAGCAGTCTCTCAATCTCATTTATTTTATTTTTTTTTATTAAAGGACCGATGAGTGGAATTACGAGACTTTTCGATAGTAAGGTTACAATACTTATTCAAGCGAAATGACAAAAAAATAATAATGCGACTATTAAAGATACAAAAGTGATTGAACGAATTGCTGATACGGAGCGACCCAAGAAACCAGCCCCAATTCCAGTTGTTCCACCTGTCGTGCAGAAAGTGACCACGGCCACCACGCCAACTCCACCCGCCCCGTGGAGAAGCACATCTCGCCAACTTTCCGAAGATGATGAGATAACAAAGCAAAAGAAATTAAACAAAGAAGCAGCAAGTCGTGTAGATCAAGCTGCAAGTGCAACACGAAGACAGCCGTCTAATGAGCCAAAAAGTCTAAGTCACGCTGCGGAAGCTGAACATCATTCAGAACTTCCGTCTTCACAAAGTGCTGCTCAAACTGCTCAGGAGACAAGTCAATCAAGAGTTCGGAAATTGTCACCTGATCGTTTATTTCCAAAAAAGAGATCTGAATCTGAGGATTCTGGGAGTACCAGTGAATCCGCAACCAGCTCCAACTCGGTGGGAACAGGTTCGTTGGCACAAATTTCTCCTCCTTTTGGCAAATGATGTGCGCTTTTTAAACTCATAGAGTTCTCATCGACGTTCTGGTCTCTGTTACCAGTTCAAGTATGCTTGCTTGCCTTGATCTATTTTATCCTGATTTTATCCTGAAGGCTTCTTCTCTTCCTTCATTATGTTGTTCTCCAAGTTTTTTATACTGTATAATTTGTTTCACCTAGTTTTTTAGTGCTCGTTTCTCCGTCCCTGTTACCATTTGTGTTACTTTTGCATGCCTATGCCCATGGAAGGAGGAGAGTAAATATGGAAGACGATGAAAGCATAGATAGCAGAGAGTGAGAGAGAGAGAGAGAAATGGACTTTGTCATCCTGCCGGCTTCATGTTGATGTTGGTATGAAAGAGAGAGATTATCATCAGGCTTCTATTATATTTGCTGGCGGATATGTCGTCAGTAGTGGCAGTGTTGTAGAACTGCTGTGATGGATCAGTTTGGCTTATGACCGGATGGCAGAATAGAACTTTTTGATGCAATGAAATGAGATCATGCAACGTGACATTGAGCATAATCCCAGAAGACCATGTAAATCAGATGCCAGCTGTATTTTCGCCAAAAAGTGATATACCAGGATGATGCAGTAGAGATAAACATACAAGATATCATCTCATCATCATGCTAATATGAGATAAAGAATTACGATCACCCCTGTGTCGTAATAGCCGAGGACTGACATTAAGCGGAGGAGCAGAAGCTTGGCAGCGTTGCAACAGCGATTGTTGGCCATATATATGAGATGAAGCAGTTAGCTTAAGTATGGAAATCCTCCGGATCAGGATAAATTTGAGACAGAAGGCAAAGTAAAAGACGGCGAGGATGACGATGGGTTAGGCCCATGAAGAAAGCTTTCCCAGAACATCGCATCGCATGGTGAGGCATCGCATCGGGCACCTCATTTGCCCCGTGTTTTCCTCCCATTCTTCTCAAAACCTGGAACAATTTCGTCTTTGTACTTGGCATCTTCTGGGAGTAGAGACCGACCTTCGTCTCCACAATCTACTAATAACGGCCACTGACTGCATTCGACTTTTTTCCACGTTGAATGCCTTGACAGCTTTATTTTATGATTACTATTACTGAAAAGAAAATAGTGGAATATTTCAAACTTTCTCTTCCTTTCCCACCTGTACACTCTCCTCAACAATGACTTTCATTCTTACTCTAAACATACTCGAATGCTCCGCAACATCCTTCTTTTCACGAGACTTGAAGTCATCCAGCTCTTTTTTCTTCTTTCTAAATCCCAAACGACGGGATGGTCCAAGTAACTACTGCATTTCCCTCTCTCCCTCTCTCTCTCTATTCCATTGTATGAGAGCCATTCTCTTTTCCCAAGAGTTTATTACAATCTGGACCGAAATTCTCTCTCAGTGACGACAGTAGTAGTAGAAAGATTATTCTCGGTGCTCTCCTGCGTGTTTAGTCAGATTCAAATCTAATAACATAGCATGCAAACTTTTCAATTTGCTCTTTTATTTAAATCACACACTGATTTTTAACCACCCATTTTTGGTCTACACTATCCTGTTGCCAGTATATCTTGTTAATTAAAAAATTGCACCTGTTAATCCCACATAGTTCGTTTGTGAGATTAACGTAGCCGAAGAAATTAGAAGTGATTAAACCAAAAATATGGAATATATTAAACAATATACAAACTGCAGAATAAACCATGTGAAAGGTTCCCATCAAGCGTTTCTCGTAGTTTGCCATACACTATCTTGTGTGTAAACACTTTCATGCATTATCCACTCGTATCCACTACGTAATGCTTTCGTTCTGGGCCGTTTGAAAACAAAGAAAAGTTCAAAGCTTCCTCTGAAGAGCAACGAGGACAAACTGATAGTGACTTTACAACTAGAGTAAAGAGCGTTGTAATACTACTGTTATCGTTGTCAACATACATACGTACGTACATACATTCATTCGACATCAGCTAGTATTTGCTGGCACAATGTTTAACAGTTTAATATTTATGTATGTGTGGGGTGTAGAGAATTAGACGTGGGTGAAGTACGTATGTATGTAAAAGCCAAGTGATGCAAAAGTCTTCTATTCGATTAATCTTCCAATTTGTACATGATGAAACCGTGCATGTTTTACCCTCCACTTCACGCAGCATGTAAGTACGTATGTGTAAGAGAAAGGTCGTATCATCATCATCGTTAGTGGTCGTGCTGGTGGGAGATCAGACAGGCGAAAGGACTAAGAAAAGGATACGCAGGAAGAAGAGAAAGCAGGGCGAGCGGAGTCGTGATGATGCCGACGACAGGTTCAGATAGTGGATGTCGTCGTCCTGGAAGAACCAAATTACACTTCACACACTGCTTCCCTCCTCTGAGATTCTTTGGACCGGAGAAAGCGGCGCCGATATTTCACATCACTTCCCGTGTTCCATAATACCAGCGACCAACCACGACCACCACCTCATCCACCACTGCATAGATAGACACAGGCACTGCACGACATAACTATGCCTACATACATAAATACACATATATATCTGGTCATAGTAGTTACGATATCACCACTACTGCAACCACACGAGGCAACCATTGATCATCCATAATTGGTTGTGGACACCTTTTCAAAGTCGCGAAGCGTATAAATCCATCATTGTTGTGAAGTTCCGTTAATTTTCACTCTGGTGCGTTTATTTATTTCCTCTGTATGCGGTCTATGTTGAATTTGATGATGAAAATATATGTTCTTTATGCATATGTATAACCTTCTTTCCGGGTTCTCTTATTCCTCCTCTTGAGGAATAAATGAATGTACCTGTTTGCATGCACCTTTTCGACTCTATAAACTAGTAATACATTTCTAGGGGCTCTTTTTACTCTAGAAGAAAAAAAGAATCGGCTTTTAAGCAAGTCGGAAGGGGCCGCCGCTGGAGCCGGAAGTGCTGCAGCTCAAAGAAAGGACTCTACAAGTTCCACAAATGGGACCAGCCGGCCATCGGCAGGATCGAGGTTTGCCAATCGCTACCTCAGTACTCCTCCGGAGAAAAAAGTGGAGCCGTCCAAGGAGGAGGACGAGGAGGAGGAATCTAGCGAAGAGGAGTCGAGTGAGAGTGAGAGTGAGGAGGAAGAGTCAGACTCATCCCCACCAGCCCCACCCGTCCTCAAAAAGACAGAGCCCGTCAAACCCTTAAGCAAAATGGAAAAAACCGACATTGGGCCCATATTGGCTCGGAGTGCCAACGCACGGGACAAGGAGCGAGGGGAGAGTGCGTCTTCAACAGGCACATCCGCCTCCTCCTACACGTCCAGAGCTGCACGTCGTCCAACGGATGAACCGACGTCGCCCACGACGACAACGGCAGCTTCTTCTGCTCTGAGTTCTTACAGGCGAAACAGGGTCACATCTCCACCCGTTCGGGAAACAGAAGCACCCTCATCGCGTTATGGAACGTCCTCCTCTTCTTCGGGTGGGACAACGACGTCGAGCTCAACGGCTGGCATGGGAAGTTCAAGGTAATTCTTCTTGTAATTCTTCTTGTCATAAAATAATCCACCAGATCTAATAAATATCAATCATGACGACGTTGTAAGGAATTGCAAAATAAGTAGATGTTTGGCCAGTTAAAGAAATCATAAATTATTCAATTGATGTGCAGCTATTTAATAGCGGGCAAGTACAAAATCTCCCCCGCATGCACAGGTATGCACTCGTGGGACGTGGGCGAAACTGTGTACATGACTGTCATTTTATTTCCCATTCATCAATTTGACTTTAACAAAGTATAATGTGGAAGGGAGGCATATTCCTTCAGTAAATAGCGACGTGGAGAGAGAAAGAGAGAAAGTGGGCGAAAGCAACAAACTGCCATGGTTGATTTGATCCTCACAAAATGAGGCAAATTCCGAGTAACCGCATTCATGGCTAGACTTACATGTGCACATGCTAGACAAATGATACTTACGATACAATTCCACACGCTTGATTTATTTCATCCATTTTCCGAAACAATGCACACACACAATGCACTCTGTATATATGTAGTCACCCACTGGGCACTGGTGGTGAAAGTTGCGGTAATGTTAGTGGTGCAGGACATATGTATGGTACTGGTGGTTAATTATTGGGTGGTGAAATTAGGTGATTGTTTTGGCCACACTCAACCTACTGAGGCAGAAATTGTGATGACGTGGGTGTAATTAATGAATTAAAGGTATCCAAGCTCCTACACATCCTCGGGTAATTCGGACTACACGACGCCCTTGGCTCGCAGCCGGACAGGTACCTCACTCTACTCCACCCCCTCATCCACCACGGAGGACTCCTCGTCCCGCTATTCATCCGGACTGGCCTCCAAGTACCTGAACAGGTTAATTTACGATTAAATAAGCAGTTTCCTAATTCACTATACACCTCCCACACACCTAACCTAACTCATATTTACACAACATCATACTTATCATGAAATCATATATGAAGATAGCTTGTTGCAATTAGTGTTAAAATGAGCATAACATATAATACTTATTAGGTCACGACACACGTTTGATGCGGACGACCACCCCACCCCATCAGCATCCAGATATGGTTCGTCTAATCCTACATCTTCATCCACGTCCAGCGCACCTCTAACGAGGCGGAGCTATCTTAGCAAAAGTAAGTGTTTTACCGAGCAATTAACCATACTTTGTGTTCTCCTCCTCCCTTTAGAAACCTCTCCTCCTTCCAACAACAACGAAAACGAGTCTAGTAAAGCAAGTAGACTGAGTAATCTGAAGGACCGACGGGCGAAAATAAACCGTAGTAAATCGTCACACGATGTCCTTCTCACTGGACTTGATTTCAATAAAGAGGACGAAGACAATGGTGGGCCGGAAAGTCCTACCTCTAAAAACTCATACGCCAATTACCAACGGCGGAAATCAACCACAGGTCCTGTGGATTCGGATTATAAAGTTCCATCCACAGATGAAAGTTCCAGCAGCCTAAGCTCTTGGGCGAGATATTTGAAAAACAAATATGGGAAAGATCGCCAACAGCCATCCCAAACTCAGCGATCTCCCGAAGTTGCCAGAGTTGAAGAGTTGCCAAAGTTTAACTTTTCTACTAATCCATACATGAACAAGAAAAAAATGGTGTTGAAATTCGGAACCAGGGGAAGTGAAGCGGGATGCTTTACGTGGCCTCGAGGTTAGGTTATTCATATGATCATTTTTATTTGTAAAAGAATTTGTATCAGTTCACATCAGTTAACAAAACCTATCAGTACGGCTTTGATTTAGCCCGAACCAGGAGTGATTAGCAATTAGCATACAAGTTTATCGCTTTAATTCATAAACCTCACTTTGAAAAATCGGTATGGGTCATTCCATATACCTTTCGTTGAAATTTTTTTCAATTTCATATTTATAAGTAATATTCTTTCACTAGAAGCCAATAATAAGCTCCATGCCAAATTCCGGCTTTCTACCACTGTTTTTGAAATTTTAGTGCATGATACCCCACCCACTTATGTGACCTATCCACTTACCCAAATCTGTTTTGATCAAACCCATCTTCGAACTCGGTTGTTACTTTGCCCAGATACATGTTTGAACAAAATTTGGTCAAAATCTGTACCGCTTTCGATAGTTATGGAAAGACGGACAGGCGTACATGATGATTACGTAAGCCCTGGTTCGGGCTAAAATCATACTCGTAAAATGTTAGGCATTCATACGAATAAATTCTTGGGTTCCATTCAACATGCATGACGCAAATCACAAAATGTTTTTTTAATAGGAATTGCTTGTGGACTAGACGGTCAAATAGTGGTCGCAGACTCCTCAAATCATGTTCGTTTGACATATTTTATTCGTTGAATGAATGGCTCTGATCAAAGTCAAAAGACTTTCTCCATCTGCGAGGGCCAGAATTTGTGTATGCATATACTTAACGAATTTCAACTTTCTCTTTTGTTCCTTGACTATCGAACGCAGAGAGTCCAGGTTTTTGGCGAGGATGGCAGTTTTATCAAGGAGTTTGGTCAGTATGGTAATTGCGAAGGTGGGTCCATAACTATGATTATGGAACTATGATTCATAATTACTGGAGCGCTTTTTTCCTAAAATTTACATTCAAAGCATTGAAATTAATCGTTTGCTCTTCAATTCCGAAGGAGAGTTTGACTGTCTGGCAGGAGTGGCTGTGAATAGAATCGGTCAATTCATCGTTTCGGACAGGTGCTAAAGGGATCAGACAACTATATATAAATACTAATTAAGTGATTCATGCAAGAATAAATCAGTTTATGTTGAACTCCAGGCCTGTCTACACCGGTTTGCATTAAAGTCTACACTTTAAATATCTGTATACACTTTCAGTGTACGTAGTTTCTATATGTAAATGCTTTCCTCGGATGAAATCATTGCCGAGTTTACATTACTTGACGAGTTCACTTTAAAATACTCGATTTATATCCCAGGGTTTTGCATGAATCACTTAATAAAGTTGTCAATCAGTCAACAACTCTGGTCCAAAGTTGTTGGTTGCGTGCAAGGTCTTAAAATTGTCAATTCTGTTAGGTATAATCATAGAATACAAGTCTTTGATCCATCTGGTCGGTTCTTGCGGGCGTTCGGCAGCCAAGGGAGCACAGATGGGAAGTTTAACTATCCTTGGGGGGTAGCCACGTGCCCTTTAGGCTTCATTTATGTGTGTGATAAGGGTAATTGCATACCTCTAAACAAAGGCTAATTAGAAAGCAAGGAAACTAAATTGATCTTTGTGGCTGTAAAGAAAACCACAGAGTGTCCGTATTTCAATCGGACGGGACGTTCGTGGGCCGATTTGGCTCCATTGGGTCAAAGGTTGGGGAGCTTCAGAATCCACATTATGTCGCAGTTACTTCTACAAATAAAGTAATTGTCTCTGACACGAACAACAATCGACTTTCCGTGTGGGATGTGAACGGACGTTTTCTGAATTGTATCGGAGAGGAGGGATCCGGAGATGGACAGTTTAAATTGCCCAGGTAGTTTTTCTGAAAGTTCTGTAGAATTCGTAACGCTATAATTGGGAGAAAGCTGTCTGTCATTTTCGACTAGAAGAGAGCGTTTGCCAATTTTTGTTGATTTTTGTTCTTTCTATTGTTACATGCATCGTTGTTGAATGGGACTGTACTTACCGTACAATAATTATCCACGTACAACGTTGTTTATAGTTTATACACGTACCGTACGGGACCTGCAACCCCAATTAAATGTACGAATTCTTCACCAGAGAACCGATGAAAACTGCCAAACGTTCTTTTCCTACTCAAATTTATACCTTCCTAAATTATGTGCATTGCGATTTCTTAGCACGTACAATTGGTGTTTAACATGAGTCATTTATTAACGTTCTCCATTTTGTTTTCTTTAAGGGGCTTGGCCATAGATGATTCGGGTGTTATTGTTGTGGGGGATAGCGGAAATAATCGTATTGTAATTTTAAGTCCAGGTGGGTGTTTGCATCATGAACTGTTATTATTATTATGCGACCCTCCTAATTCCTCCTAATGAATGATAAATATAATCTTCTTATTGTTTGGCAGATGGACCGGATGGATGGAAATTTATGAAAACATTTGGATCTTACGGAGTTGGAAATGGCGAGTTTAAAGGCATTGAAGGCGTCGCGGTGACGACAAAAAAAAATATTCTAGTTTGTGACCGTGAGAATCACCGTATTCAAATATTTTAATTCTACTAATTTAAAAGAATGTAAACCTTGCATATTTTTAAAACATGCAAGAACTATATGTAATACTATATATTATAATTGTGCTACAAGCACTACAGTTAACTTATTAGTATTTTCTATTATAGCAGATTTATAACAACTGTGCCAGTTAACGTTGGAAATAAATACAAAATATTCACGATATCTGTTGTGAATATTCATCAAATTTAATTCTCATTTATTTTAAAAATATGGCATGAAGGATGAAAGCCAAAACAAGTGGCAGAGCACTCATGGCGTCGGTCAGACATAACCTGCTCCAGGTTGGAAGACAAGGGGTGTATGGACCCCTGCAAATAGACAATGGTGTCTGCGATTTTGACTCCCACACACACTACTCGATGACTGTGTCTCGACTCTGCCCCTGTCTCACTCTATCCGGTTTTAACGAGCCCAATACTCGTTTACTAATAAATAATGAGTATATGAAGACTTGTGACATAAACTTAGTCAAAATATAACGATCGGTAATTTTGTTACAGACATTTTTAAATTCTATTGTTTGCTTTTGGAACATTGTTTAATTAAAAAGTTGGTATCATACAAATTTATGAACTTGACAAAGTAAAACATGCTTAAATCAACTGCTAATGAAGAAGTAAATAAAATGGCAGACATAAAATAAGTAGATCTTTGATTTACAACGAGCAATGAGCAAATATCGTTAAATCATAGACTCCAGAATAAGCCATGATGGTGGTTCTTATGAATGTTACAACAAATGTTAATTATATTTCACCAATGCAATATCTAATCCTATACGTAATTGAAATCGTCCGATACGTTTTGTACTTTCTTCCAAGCCTCTGTTCGTAGCGTTTCTTGAATGTTCCGTAGGATGCTTCGAAACTCGCCAATTCTATTCTTGATATCCTTCCATACATTTTGGAACTATAAAAACATGAATTAATTTTTGTCCTTTAATTTTATAATAATGTTTGATGTAATTACGTTTTCGTCTTTCTTCCAAATTTCAATGTTTGACATTTTATACAGGGTTGGATTGGGTAGATACTCGAGATTATCAAGTATAGCCTGAATAACGATATTTTTATCTTTTCGTGTCAGAATATCTTCCTTGCTCCGGGTAAACGTAGAAATGCCACCGCCCAACATAGATCTCGCGAAACACTTGAAGTTATTCCTTTTTCCATAAGGACATTGGCACAAACTTATGACATTGCTGATACCCGGTGTCCACCCTGCCCATTTTAGAAATCTGCAAATCATACATATTATATATGTATAATAAAATTTTGTATGTCTACGTAATTATTCAATTTGTTACCTATCCGTGCAAGCTTCATCTGACACATGCCTGTTGGCAGCTGTCAATATATCATAACTTGAGGTATAAAGACACACGACATCGGCTGGAATATCATCAAGGTTTGACCACGGCATGAAGTAAATCGTGCTTTCGTCATTGGTAGCATAGTCATCCTCGGTGTCATAATCGTCGTCCTCCCTTTCATCTTGCCAGGCTACATTTATTATCGTGTTATCTATATCCTGTAGTATCGCAAGGATCTTATTTTTGGGCATTGTGCGTTTATCTTTCATGAATGCCTGAAACTATAAAAATTTGTGCCGTTTTGGGGATATACTTTATACACTTGCATTTCCATACTATAACTTTAACACTTAATATTGTAAATGTTTCATAACGTACGCTATTATCATTCTTCCAAAACTCCATTTGATCCATTTTGAACAACGTTGGTATTGGAAGGTATTTTAAGTTTGACCTAATTGAATCGTCAATAAAGAGTTTATCATCTCTTGTCAATGAATTTTCAGCAGGTCGAACAATGGTTGAAATTCCTCCTCCTAGTTGGCTTCTCGCGTAAAACTTGAAATGATGCTTCTTTGCATCTGGACACAAGCACAATTGGACGAGGTTTGAAATGTCTGGTGTCCACCCTGCCCTTGTTAAATACCTAGGCAAATTAAACTCATGTTAAATGAGTCGTTCAGAAGGAGATACTGCATGAAGCATATAGGCAAGGCTCACTTGGCATTTTCAAACCTTTAATTAATGCAGAAATAGGTAAATTAGTTAAAGTCGAATTTCCTGGGGTAAAATCGAGTAGGCTCAGAACGGAACCGAATGGTGCATCAAAATATCATTATATAGGTATTCAATTAAAATCAGATCAGGTTTCTGTCCCTTCGTTTGACTTTCAGTCTATAATCTCATCTCTTAGGAAAAATTGTCCGACTCTAAAACAATGTCCAAAAGCTTGTAGAATCTCAGTAGCTCAAGTTTTAAAATCAGTTATAGATAAATGCATAACAGAAAATACACCAGAAGCATGGCACCTACTTTTGACCTTTCCATATATTTCATTGCAATGTGAATCAAAACTGAATATTAAGAATGGTCAGAGTTTGAATAGTAAAATTAGGAATAATTTATCCATTTTTAGCCCGAGCCAGGGCTTATGTACCCGTTATGTCTGTCTGTCTGTCCGTCCGTCCGTCTGTCTTCGCGATAACTCTCTTCAAACTCAACCGATCGACTTGAAATTTTTACCACATCTATATCTACCCAAAAGACAAATCAAGTTCGAAGATGAGCCGAATCGGTCAAGTGGTTGGCCGGTGGGGGCCATATGGGTGGTGGGGTTATTATGCATCAAATTTTCAAAATTGTTGTAGAAAGCTGAAATTTGGTAAATATGTAACTAATGGCTTCTAATGAAAAGATATGAAGTGAATTTGCGAAAATTTTTATCTGGAGGGACCCTATGGGGTCACTCAAACTGATTTTTCAAAATCGTCCAATTAAGCTGAAATTTGGTATGGAAGTCGATAGCAGCTTATAATGGGAGTTTATGATGTACAATTTTGAAAATTTTGACCCAGAGGAACCCGGTGGGGTGACCCATACTGATTTTGCAAAATCACTCAATTAAGCTGAATTTTGGCGTAAAGATTGGTAAACAAATTCTAGTTGTACCCACCCTGGCTCGGGCTAAGCAAAGCTGCACTGTAGGTTTTCAATCTTTGAACAGTAATACCTACCAAGACTTCCTTCTTTCCCTTTCATCCAAAAATATGTTCATACCAATTTGGGTAATTTTCACAGTGATATAGGACCAAAAGTTATATCTAAAGTTTCTGAGGGCAATATTCAAGGTGCAATTAGGCTTTTAACATCCGACGATACTATTGCCCCTAATTCTTCAGAAACTTTGGTTACACTTTTGGAAAAACACCCATCACAATCCTTAGATAATTTTGCCGAATTAGATGAGAGTAACATTGAACCTTATCTTGCAACACAGGAACAGATCAAATCAGCAATATTTTCCTTTCCATGTGGCTCAGCTGGTGGTCTAGATGCATTACGCCCACAAATTTTGAAAGATTTAATTTCAGAGCATACAGGGGAAATAGGGGCACAGTTAGTACAATCACTAACAAATCTAGGTAATTTTATGTTGGCAGGCAAGGTCCCATTAGAAATTTGCCCTTTCATTTATGGTGCTAGTTTAACAGCTCTTAGAAAGAAATCAGGCGGAATTAGACCAATAGCAGTAGGTTGCACTTATCGTCGATTGGTTTCTAAAGTAAGTGTCAAGGTTATGAACCATGTCTTTGAGAATCATTTTAGTCCAATTCAACTAGGCTTCAATGTTAAAAATGGCGCTGAAACAGGAGCACATGCTGCACGCAGATTCTTTTCCTTTCCACATACATCACCCACGGCTTTCCTCAAAATAGATTTCAAGAATGCATTCAACATGGTAGATAGAGGCAAATTACTTTCATCGGTTCATGAAATGGTGCCATCCTTGTATCCATATATAAAACAATGCTATAAGTTCACATCTAGTCTTATTTGGAATTCTTCTCTCCTTGATTCGTGTAGAGGCGTCCAACAAGGCGATCCTTTAGGTCCACCCCTGTTTTGTTTGATCTTACACCCAGTCATTTCAAAGTTAGAATCAGAATTTAATATGTGGTACTTGGACGATGGTACATTAGGCGGAAATCCCAATACAGTTTTAGATGATTTCAAGCATATTATGTCATGTGCAGATGATGTAGGTTTAGAACTCAATTTCGACAAATGTGAGGTTTCAATATTAGGTCCCCAGAACAATAGACAATCAATTGTTAAGTCCTTTCAGTTAGTTGCGCCAGGTATTTCAAGCATAACACCTGATAATGCCGAACTTTTAGGTGCACCATTAACATTGGAGTCCATTGAACACGTTTTCCGCAAAAAGATAGATGCATTTTCTAACATGACAGGTCGATTAAACACCATTCCCAATCATATCGCTTTTTATCTTTTGAAACATTCATTAGCTATACCTCGTTTAATTTATCTTTTGAGAGCATCGCCAATTTTTAAATCACCACATTTGCTAGAAGAATTCGATTCATTACTTCATAATGCCTTAGAACAAATTACAAATTGCGAAATTAGTCCACTTTCCTTAGAAGAGATTGCATTACCAATCAAACTAGGTGGTCTAGGAATTAGACAATCGAAAACTTCAGCAACTCCATGTTTCCTTGTATCTTCCTTTGCCACTTCAGATCTCGTTTCTACTATTTTGCCCTCATATGTCACTGCACTGTCTGATTCATTTGTGACCGAGGCTCAGGATTTGTGGAAATCAATCAGTTGTAGTGAAGTTCCTTGTAACACAATTAATTCAATTCAGTCATCCTGGGAAATTCCAATTTTTAACAGGGTTTCTACACATATTTTGGAATCATCCAGCACTGCAATAAATACCGCTAGAATTTCAGCTTCCCGTTCAAAAGAGTCAGGTGCATGGTTGCAAGCATTGCCATCTAGAAATTTAGGCACACTCTTAGATGATAATACTTTTAGGATTGCAATTGGTTTACGATTAGGTTTAAAATTATGCTTCCCTCATAAATGTGTTTGTGGTGCACAAATTGATGAATTAGGCTTGCATGGGCTTTCTTGTAAAAAAAGTGCTGGTAGACACCCTCGACATACACATGCAAACGATATCATAAAGAGAGCATTAATTTCCGCAGATATTCCATCTATTAGGGAACCACTAGGTTGTTGCAGAACAGACGGTAAAAGACCAGATGGATTAACCTTAATCCCATATAAACAGGGCAGGTCATTGATTTGGGACTTTACATGCATAGACACATTTGCCCCCTCTTACATTTCCCAAACTCAAACACATGCTGGCGCAGCAGCAACACTTGCACAAACAAAAAAACACACATATTACACTGAACTCAAAAAAACCTATATCTTTGTTCCTGTGGCGGTCGAAACATCTGGAGTGTGGGGGACGGAGGGTTTGAAGTTCGTGAAGGAGGTGGGGAGAAGGATCAAATCCAACACTGGTCATCCAATGTCAACTCAATTTCTGATTCAGAGGATAAGTATGGCAGTGCAGCGTGGAAATGCAGCATCAATTATGGGTGCAATTCCAGATTCTCGCGGATTAGAAGAGTTATTTTATGTTTTAAATAATGTATCAAATCATTTCAAAAAATCTTGTAAGGGGCCAAATGGTGATCTCAGAGACCTATCTGGATCAAGTAATGGTTTTCCCAACCCACCAACATCGGGTTTTTCCACTACTCCCCAAGTCAACCATTAAGTGCTGTTTTACATAATATTTATGTTGTTTTATTGAATAAAATATTACATGATTACATAAAAAAAACCTACAGTGCAGCTTTGCTTAGCCCGAGCCAGGGTGGGTACAACTAGAATTTGTTTACCAATCTTTACGCCAAAATTCAGCTTAATTGAGTGATTTTGCAAAATCAGTATGGGTCACCCCACCGGGTTCCTCTGGGTCAAAATTTTCAAAATTGTACATCATAAACTCCCATTATAAGCTGCTATCGACTTCCATACCAAATTTCAGCTTAATTGGACGATTTTGAAAAATCAGTTTGAGTGACCCCATAGGGTCCCTCCAGATAAAAATTTTCGCAAATTCACTTCATATCTTTTCATTAGAAGCCATTAGTTACATATTTACCAAATTTCAGCTTTCTACAACAATTTTGAAAATTTGATGCATAATAACCCCACCACCCATATGGCCCCCACCGGCCAACCACTTGACCGATTCGGCTCATCTTCGAACTTGATTTGTCTTTTGGGTAGATATAGATGTGGTAAAAATTTCAAGTCGATCGGTTGAGTTTGAAGAGAGTTATCGCGAAGACAGACGGACGGACGGACAGACAGACAGACATAACGGGTACATAAGCCCTGGCTCGGGCTAAAAACTCATGTTAAACTTAACCCTCAATACTTGTTAATTTAAAAACAACTATTACTTATCTGTACACCCCTGTTGCTGCACATGACATTCTGCAGCTTTTGAGAGTTCCATGATTGAGGTGAAAAGACATACCACGCCTGCTGGAACATTGTCAAGATTTGACCATATCATGATGTAAATCATACTCTCTCCGTTGGGTTGGAATCCAATTCCGCTATGATTGAAAAAGGAATTGAAAGGAATTGCTATGGAAACGGTGGCAATGTGACCAATATTTTTTTTACCAAATTCTTAGGTGCGTCCAACACATATTGAAGTCTGATTCAAGATTATTGCACTCTTCAGAAACACATATTCGCCGAAAGTTAAGCTTAACTCTGTCTGTGCTAGGCTCAATCGAATGATGACATCTCCACCTGATACCATCTTGATCTGTATGTTCGGCACCATCTTGTTGATTTATCGGATGCTTCCTCCCTTTTCTGTTGTAAGAACATTTTTTTCATTTTTTGTTAAACTTAATACTACGATCATTTTGTATTACCTTCCAGTTTGACATGATCTGCATGTACCAGA